ATAGTTTTTAAGTGATACTCAGCACTCAGTAAGGGCCTTCCCTTCTCCATTTATTAAAATTTTTTGTATGTAATGGACTCCTGGACTGTTGGGTACTTTATAATTTTATTAGTGTTAGGGTCTTGCTTTCTATGTTTATATTTATATGTCTTCTACAATAAGAGCCCTGGATTACAACATCATCAAATGCTCAATTCTGCAGTAATATAGCTAAAATAGTTTTGAAATTCCTTTGTTTATATTAGTACCAAAACCCCCAAACCTACTAAAAGGAGCTCTATCAAAATTGAGTATATAAACTGCATATAGATTTCATAAATTATGTAGATTAGTTTTCTTTTTCCCCACTAATTGTGTTGGGATATTCTCACCCTTGATTTATTTATGAAAAACATTTATTGTTGACTTGGTTTTAGAGGTCAAAGCCACATAATGTCTATTCCATGAAATATTCCCATATCCTTTATATACTTACTGTACATAACCCCTTAAAGGTAACTAGCTTCATTATATATTCTCTTTTTGTATCTTGTAAAGACTTTAGGAGTTTTGGCACTTATATAACACATTCAGATTAGATTTGTTTACTTAAAGATTTTGAAACCTACTTTAGGCATTGGGGAACATATTTGGGTCCAGTGCCTTCAAAATGTGATAACCAAATTTGACAAGGAGGGCAAAGATGCACTTAGAACTGGATGTTGAATGTCATCAATAATTGTATTTACCTCATGGTCCTATTGTTTATTGTGCCTTTATTTTAAGAGCTTATTTTCTTAGTAAAGTAGTATATATGGTTTTTATAAACATTCACCACTTTTTATGTTTCTACTTCAAAAAACATCACATGGATGATATATTCCAACTTGAGTTGGGTAGTTTTTCTCAAACTAAGTCTGTTGAATTTATTATGAGTGGCAAGGTAGGCAGAACTACCACTGCATATATTTAGGAGAGCATCATTTACAATTAATATAATATTCTGCTGTAGAAACTCAAGTATGTACTGCACATAAAATTTTTAAATGTGTGATTTGTCTTTCAAAAATTTGCTTTAAAATAATATTAAATTGTTGCTACTTGAAGTTTTTAATGCCTGGTTCTTAAAAAGTGATCAGTTCTTTTCATTAACATTTGTCTTTCATTTTCTTCAAATATAAAGTCATATTCATCCATCCTTTTTAAGTATCAGTAATGTTTATAATTCTTTTATCATAGAAAGTAGTGTTTTTAATTGTTTTCACTTTCTTTAACCATTTCCTTCAAAGTATAACATTTTTGTATTTTAAAATCTATGTATTCTCTACATTCATGATACCTTAATTGTGACTTACATATCTTTTGTGAGATAAGAAAGAACAAATTCAATGGGTTGAGTGGATCTATGTTGTAGGAAAGATAAACAAATTGTCAGACTGAGGAAAACAATGTATTTTAGCTTTTGTGATTGAAGAATTAAACTCTTGAGTTAACTGATCATTTTAATAATTATGTTCCTTAATGAAAGTAAGTGAAGTTGTATATTCAGACACAGTGCTCCAAAAGCAGCATCAAATAAAATGTGTATATATGACTAGAAGATTAAAATGATATAAAGTTAAACTGATAATTCTCTTCTTGGTAAATTAAAAAAAATATTTTCTGCATGTTATAAGGGTAACTTTTCTCTTTGTGGGGGAAGATAAAATAACTAGAAAAAGTGCTGAATATGATCAAAGTACATTATGAACATATGAGAAAATATAATGAAGCATATGATTTTGTACAATTACTATATGCTAATAAAGCTATGAAAATGTTATGAAATAAATTTAAATGTTATATGTATTGACTATCACATGAAAAGAACACAAAGGCAGATGTAGGTTCTGTTGTGATTTTGCTGTTAGATGTTTTTATAAGATGTTACTTCTTTGTAAACTGAATTCCTTTTGCTCTTTGGGTTGATATGGGAGCTCAAATGAGATAACTGTTAAGTACTTTATTAATCAGGGAAACCCTTCTTGCTTGCATCAGAAACGTACTTTCTGCTATTTGTTTTTAAAAGAATGATTATTGACACACTGAATTTTTTAGTTTTTAAAAGGACACTGAAGAGAATTTTAAATTGCTATTTAACAAAATAAAATAGTTCAAATGTTTTGTGACCATTAAGTGTCCTGGTTTTGAAAAATATTATATGTGGAAAAATGTAAGTTGAAAATAGTACATGGGCTAGGGATATAGTTCAGTGCTACAGTTCTTACCTAGCATAATTGAGGCCCTTTGTTTAATTATTGGCTTCCCTTAAAAAGAAAAATCTGGGTACCAGTGGCTCATGGCTGTAATCCTAGATATTTGAGTAGCTGAGATCAGGAGGACCATAGTTTGAGGACAGCCTTGCAGAAAAGTTCATGACACGTTTTTCAACTGATGGTTGAAATCGTGGTTGTATGCCTCTCATCCTAGCTATTTGGGAAACGGGAGGATTACAGTTTCAGGCTAGGTAGGGCAGAAAAGTTGCAAGGTTCCATTGTAATGGAAAGAAGATAGGTATAGTGATGAACACCAGTCAGCTACAATGGGAAGCCTGAGATATAAAATAGGTGGCTTGTGGTCTAAGTGTCTAAGCTGAGCAGGAAGCATCTCCAAATGACTAGCATCTCCAAAGGACTAGAGACATCACTCAGTCGTATGCCTAGTAAGCATGAGGCCCCGAGTTCATACACCAGTATTGCCAAAACAAAACCCCCCAAAATAGGCACAAATGACAGTTGTAATTTCATACAATGAAGTTTGTAAATCCTACCCTCTCCAACCACATGCACACACACATGCACAAAATAAGACAATATATCATGGTATTATTTTACTCTTGATCATAGGTTTATTTATATTTGAAGTAGCTGGCCTATTTTGTCTACACAAAGTATTTTGAGCCTGTGCTCAGGTAATTCTGAACAATGATACCCAAACTGACTGTACAAAATGAAGCGTTCATTTATAATGTTGATATATATGTATATTAGTACATGTTTATTAAACATTAATATTTTTGACATTAACATTTTTCACACTAAAGTATTTGAAAAGAACATTTATATGAGCACAAAAACATGTTAGTAAATTCACTTGGCTTTGGTGGTCAAGGAAGGTTTGCTGGAGACTGATCTTGTAGATGAATAAAATTAGCATTCAAGGGTTTTTGTTTTTGTTTTTTAAACGGGGAAATAAAAAGGAATAGGAAGGGAAGAATATAGGCAAAAGCCTAGCTGGAGTAAGTGTCTGGTAGAACTAGCAAAATAGAGATTGGCTCCGGTGCTTGATTAAGAAATAAAGGGAATGAGATACTCTTGTCTTTGAACAAGAGTGTTGTGAGAAAAATGTTCTTTTACAAAAATTATGTTGGCAACACGAAAAAAGGTTGGAAGGGGGAATGTTAATCCGATGATGCTTATTTCCTAACTAAATAACATTTCACTAGTATGAATAAAGAAAGCATATGTGCACACACACACACACACATATACACACAAAATTGTTGCTTGAACTAGTGAGAGAGAGGTAATCAGCAGATAAGATCCACAGTATTTCTGTTAGGAGACACAGTGTCTTAAGACCTCCTATTGCTGTTAGGCATAAAATAATGACTTGATCAAAAGGCATAATGCACGGGGTCCATATGTATAATACGTGCTTTTCTAAAAAAAAAAATAAAAAAATAAAAAAGGAAGGTGGGTCTGTGGTTGCTGACCTTGGTCCTGAATGGTAGTTAAAGTACTACTTGTAGAAGTTGCTTGGATAGGGCTGGGAAGGTGGCTCAGTGGTAGAGTGCTTGCCTTGCATGCATGAGGCCCTGGGTTCAATTCTTCAGCACCACATAACAGAAAAAAAACTGGAAGTGGCCTTGAGGCTCAAGTGGTAGAGTGCTAGCCTTGAGCTGAAGAGCCAAGGGACAGCGCCCAGGCCCAGAGTTCAGGCCATGACCGACCAAAAATAAAAAGAAGTTGCTTGGATTGGATTTGTGCAGCACTTTGCAGAATGGTCTGCAAAGTGCTAACAGTGTCTAGAAACTAACACACTCTTGCTAACATCTGTTAGCTAAGAAGGGAAATTGGTTCTGTTACATATATTGTTGTCTATTACAACCACTTCCGTGCTGTTGTATTTGATTTGTTAGACTCTAGTAAAGTTACTGGCAACAAATTTTATCTTGCAAGAAACAATTGTCTAATAGTAATGTAAGTATGTTTTAATTGCCATATAGTATTATATAAAAACGAAGGCTGATTCACAGGAAGAAACTATCTTACCAAATGAATCTTTTTTCTTTTCTTTTTCTTTTTGTCGGTCCTGGGGCTTGAACTCTGGGCCTGGGCGCTGTCCCTCAGCTCTTCTGCTTAGGGCAGGTGCTCTACCACTTGAGCCACTGCGCTACGTCCAGTTTTCTGGTGGTTAATTGGAGATAAGAGTCTCAGGACTTTCCTGCCCAGGCTGGCTTTGAACTGTGATCCTCAGATCTTAGCTTCCATATAGCTAGGATTACATACATGAGTCACCGGTACCTGGCTGCAAATGAATCTTATAAAACTTTGAAGTTACATTTCTTTCTTTCACTTGTTTGTCTGATTATATACAAATCAGTTGTGTGTGCATATCTAAAATATTTTAATACCTTCATCTTTTTTTTTCAGTATTAAAGCATGAAATAAATCCTCAGTGTTTCAAGATTATTTAAAAGGACTTGTAATCACAACTCAGCACCTAGGACAGCACCCAGTGCAACACAATATACATGAACTCTGGCTTGAGGTTTGGGGGTTTGTGTTATGAATTTGGGAGTTAAAAGAAGAGAAAGTTTTAGGGAAAATTTAAAATCCTTATAAGCCCTTACTCTAAAAGTGTATGAAATACAGAATGGTTTCATGGCTTGATTTCAAAATGTTTTACACTGGCTGTAGAACCCACATCATGAAGTAGTTTGAATTAAAATGATCTAATATTTGTGTTTTAACTTTCAGCTTTGTGTTATTCTTGGAAAATTTCGCACCACTTGTGAATTCCTTGAACCTGGGCATTGCAAACCCACTTCTGTTGGGCCCATCTCCTTTGCACTTTGCTCAGATTAAGACTCAGTTGGCGCTTCAGCAGCTGAATGCCGTTGCCTCACATGGTTCAACACCACCTTATACTTTATTAAATCAGGCATTCTTGAAAGTAGCCATGTCCAGACCCAGGTTTAATCCTCGAGGAAACTTTCCACTTCAAAGGCCACGAGCACCTAACCCTTCTGGGATGAGGCCTCCAGGACCATTTATGAGACCTGGATCTATGGGTCTACCAAGATTTTACCCACCAGGGAGAGCCCGTGGAATTCCACACAGATTTGCTGGCCATGAATCTTACCAGAACATGGGACCACAGAGAATGAATGTTCAGGTAACTCAACACCGAACTGATCCAAGATTGACCAAAGAAAAATTGGATTTTCATGAAGCACAACAAAAGAAGGGAAAGCCTCATGGTAGCCGGTGGGATGATGAGTCTCACATATCGCCTTCAGTGGGAGTGAAACAGAGTTCTATAACACAGGTTACAGAGCAGAGTCCCAAAGTACAGAGCCGTTATACAAAAGAGAGTGCCTCAAGTATCTTAGCAAGTTTTGGATTATCTAATGAAGATCTAGAAGAACTTAGTCGCTATCCTGATGAACAGCTAACTCCTGAAAATATGCCATTAATTTTAAGGGATATAAGAATGCGAAAAATGGGGCGCCGATTACCTAATTTACCCTCTCACAGCAGGAATAAAGAAATGCTCGGTAGTGAAACAGTTTCAAGTAATGTGATTGATTATGGGCACGCAAGCAAATATGGCTACACAGAAGATCCACTTGAAGTACGTATTTATGATCCTGAAATTCCAACTGATGAGGTCAAGAATGAATTTCGGTCACAGCAGAACATTTCTTCATCTGTTCCTACTCCAAATGTTATATGTAATTCTATGTTTCCTGTTGAAGATGTATTTCGCCAGATGGACTTCCCCAGTGAGTCCTCCAATAATCAATCATTTTTCCCAGTTGAGAGTGGAACCAAGATGTCAGGCTTACATATTTCAGGACAGTCAGTCCTTGAACCTGTAAAATCCATCAGCCAACCCATTAGCCAAACAGGTAGTCAGACAATGAGTCAGTCTCTGATTCCTCCATCTATGAATCAGCAACCTTTTTCATCTGAAATAATTTCAGCTGTAAACCAGCAAGAACGGATCACACATAAACCTGTGATTAATTCAGCTACTGTACATGTTGGATCAAGAGGAAGTAAAAAGAATTACCAGTCTGAGACTGACATTCCCATTCGGTCTCCCTTTGGGATTGTTAAAGCATCATGGCTACCAAAGTTTTCACATGCTGATGCTCAGAAGATGAAGAGACTTCCAACCCCTTCAATGATGAATGATTACTATGCAGCATCTCCAAGAATATTTCCACATTTGTGTTCTCTGTGTAACGTAGAATGTAGTCATTTAAAGGTGAGTGTTTTTAAAGATCACTGTATGCTGCTCAGCGCCCACGTTTTCTCTAAATTCTGAAATGTATGCTGGTGTTAAAGAGACATTAAGGAAATGACAGAAATTAAGTGTTTTCATTGCAAATCTTCATGTTTAATTGAAATCTTAAGAAGCTATGACCTTATTACCAAATTGAGTGTTAGATTTTTTTACTTGTGTTATTAGGCATATCACACAATTTGTCCATTATTTTGAACTTTGAATTATCCTACTTACGCAACATGAAATTTATCTAACATAAACTTTGTACTCATAACACAATACTACCTAAGAAATGTTTAAGATCTGTTTGCATGCAAATATGAAGACTTGGTATAATCCATTTGTAGTGCATATTTTAAGAGACAATGTCTTACAGCCTTGCATATACCTTTTTGGAGCTAAAGATATTTAATGTTTTAACTGTTTTCTGATTTTGTATGGGCCAGTGATTTTTATTTTGTGGTGTTTGTCATGGAAAAGCTTCATAAAATAATTTCATAGCAAAAAATGAATCATGATGCACTAATTATATGAATTAGTTGTGAGCTCAGAAAATAAGATAAAATGAAACATGGAGAAGAAAATTAAAAAATAAGTTATAAATAGTACTTTTTTGGTTAGTATAGTTACAAGGAAATATTTTGCAGAGCTGCTGAAAAGTAGGTGTAATGCAGAATATATATCTTCTTTGACAGTAATCATTGATAGATATGAGCAGGTATTCTCAAGTAAACTTTATATGTTTGAGAACTAATGGTTCTTCTGTTTGTAATTTGTAGATTTAGGTGGTAAATGGTGAGGAAGGAATGTAAAAGCTTTGATTCAAGGCCATATCCTTGAATTGTGTACTTCAAAGAGGTTTAACAAATCTGTGGGCAGCTGGCTCAGGTGGTTCATGCCTGTAATCCTAACTACTAAGGAGGCTGAGATCTATGGATCACAGTTTGAAGCCAGCTGCAGCAGAAAAGTCTATGAGACTTATCTCGAATAAGTTACTCAGAAAAAGCTGGAAGTGTTGGTGTTGCTCAAGTAGTAGAGCACTAGCCTTGAGCATAAAGTGGCTCAGATAGCACCCAGGCCCAGAGCTCAAGCCCCAGGACCAGCATAAATAAGTAAATAAATCTGTAGGCATTTACTGTCTTGTTACTTTTTCCTCCTCCTAATGCTGCCCATTTATTCCCTTTTATCTGCTCATCAGGTTTGAGTCAACAAGAATCTGATACCTAAATTTGTGACTCTTGCATTAAAGTTAACACCAACATAAGAACACAACATTCTGGACAGGGAGTATAGCTCAGTGAGAGAGTGCATATGCTTAGACCATGTCAGGCCCCAGGTTCAATCCCAGTTACAGAGAAGCAAACATTCTATTCATTTTAAGAAATTGGTTAAAATCTAGTAAAATAATAGTTGCCTTATCCCACCAAAAGAAATAAAGTATACCTTGAAAAACATATAATTAGCTCTGGCCTAACTATTGAATTGACTGTCATACTGTGACTGGGCATACTACAATATTTCCACTTATTTTGAATTTAGTTGTACTGAAGAAAATATATCTTTAAAAATATATCTTTAAAAACTTGAAGTTTTGTTTTGTAGCATAGAAAAGGATATATTTTCTCTGTATATTGATACCAGTTTTGGATCTGGATTCTGTATTGAGGGCTAGGACAGAAGTAAGGAGCTATATACAATTTAGATGTTTCTAAGAAGTCTTATACAGTCTTCATTCACTCAAGGCATTTTTTAAAAATTAGAAACAAATGGCTTAGTAATTTTTTAAAACTTGTTTGGATATGCTATAGAGGAAAGATTTAGTGTTTTCTGTATTTCAGACTCATCAAACTGGCATCATCAGTACACACACACACACACACACACACACACACACACACACACACACACACACACACACACACACACACACACACACACACACACACACACACACACACACACACACACACACACACACACACACACGGTATATCTAACAGTATGTGATTTAGAAGATAAAAGCTTGTAATCCAAGCCATTCAGAATCATGAGGAAGATGTAGAAAGATGGTGATTTGAGGCTTGCTCTGTCTCCAGACCCTATCTGAAAGATGTGCAAACCAAGCCAGGTGCCAATAGCTCACACCTGTGCTGTAATCCTAGCTACTCAGGAGGTTGAGACTTGAGGATAAAGGTTCAAAGCCAGCCCAAGCAGGAAAGTCCCTGAGACTCTTATCTCTAGTTAATCATAGAAAAAGCCAGAAGTGGAGCTATCGCTCAGGTGATAGCCTTGAGCAAAAAAGGATGAGGGCATGGCTCAAATAGTACTTGAGTGTAAACCCCAGGAATCCTAACTCCACCATAGCAGTATATAAATACACTTCCTGCATTATCTAACTTAACTCTAGTTAGATAAGAATAATGGAGTGACCATTATTAAATGCTCTAAGTCTGTTTGAATTAGGAGAGGAGTTCATGGAATAGTTTGATGAAGGATCTTGAAATAATGAGTAGGCTTTAGATATACCTATCTGAGGGGAGGGGGAAACCTTCAGATGGAAGCAAAGGTCTTGAGAGGAGGCTATATTGTGATAGTCTACAGTGATGAACATAGTAAAAATGACTTTGAAGGGCCTTGGAAGGCTAGCCTAAGGGGTTTAGATTTGAGGTGAGAGGACATACTAAGAAACTAAGTTTCTTGATATGTCAAGTGATATATTGGAAATGTTTTAAGGAAAGCCTAAGTGTGCAAATGAATAGAAATAAAACAGATGAGATAAGGCATCTGGTCGGGCACTTCTTTAATAGATATTCAACTGTTAGACAGTAAAAGCCTGCGTTAATAAGATAAACATTTGAGAGGGAAGAAAAACCACGTAGTGATCATTAGACCTTATATAAATATTTGTCATTAAAAACACATACCTTTTAATGCTACAACAGATAGGGACTTATTAAGTAATGAATTCTTCACTACTTGAATGGCTAAACATTAGTGGGTGAACATGGATTTAATTGGTACAAACTACCTCTTTTGTTTCTGTGTTTTATTTTGCTGCCTCATAAGTGTGTGTGTGTGTGTGTGTGTGTGTGTGAGTGTGTGAGTGAGTGTATTATTTAAATATGTAGCCAGTAAATGTGAATTACCACGTGTAAGTTTTTTTCCTACCAAGTATATCTGACAATGTCTTTGCTTTCTATCTTTTAGTCTTTCAGTTATATCCTTAAAATAGAGTTTGAAAATGTGTAGGAGTATAAAATCAAATGCAAAATGAATTTCCTTTCTGAATTGGGGTTCAAGTTTTAGAGGAGCTTTTCTTATTTTTTTTTCTAAAATATTTTATTTGGTTTGAGAAGGTATTGGTTGATTTTTTTTTTTTTAGGTATATGAAGATAGGAGAACAAGTTTGGATGATAGGTATTTTCACAGTTTGAATCTAAGCCTGTATAAATCTACACTCTTTGCAGTATCTTCTGCTTAATAAGTTAGTATTACTTTTTCCTGGAGAGGCAGTGCTGCTTTTGAACAGTTAACTAATCTGGTTATTGTTACTGGAGAGATTAGAAATTGGGGTGGCATGAGTATATGAAGCAAGTGAGTAGTATTAGTAAAATAAGCCTGTTAAAAGAGTATTGTGTGTGTGTATGTGTTGAATTGAAGTGTATGTCTTAAATAGGAAGCTGTCACTCACCTTCAGCTGATAGTTGCTAAAAAATGCATATACAATATTATATCTTCATACTTTTTAAGAAAAATTGAAAAATTGGGTATGAGGGTAAAAATCTCTGGAGTTCTCAATGTTGGCAACTTTTTCAAATAAAACATTTTACAGCCCAAATAAATCATGCCCAATTCCCTGCCTGATAGTGTGTCTGTTTGATATAAACAATATCCAATTTATATGAAAGACATGGGTTTAGTAGTACCTTTGGAAACTGTTAATCTCTTTTAGCTTTTTATTTGTATCACTGAGGATGATAAGCAAACATTTATGTAGCTTACTCACAATTAATCCATTAGACGTAGTGGTTCAGAGTTTGTTCTAACTTGTTGCTATGTGTTGCAATCATGCTTTTCAAACAGTTCTTACCATGGCAGAATCCAAAGTTAGTGTCAACTGTAGTTTAACTGGGGAAACTTAGTTTGTCTTTAGCAATGATCTAAACTTGAGGGAAGTTTTTAAAATACAGAGCTGTTTAATAAATATTTTACCTTTCCAAATGCTAGAAGAACAATAAAACATTAAGTGGTTAACATGTTGTTCTTAATTAACTGTTTCACTTTGGAGGATGTATCTTTCAACACTGTATGGGCTTTTTCTCCTCTTAACTAAATATTTCTCCCTTCTAGGAATTATTTATGATTATACATTGTAATGTTAGGGGCAGATTTATTTGTAAGTGAAGCAATGTATAAGAAAGCATTTCATTAATTGTAGACCTCCATCTATAAGGGGCATTATGTCTTTGAAGTCATGTTGCTTTCCTTTGAATCTTAAAATAAGTTAGTTTTGATCAGTAGCAATTTTTTCATATTTTAAAAAATATTTATTTCCCAATATAGCAATTTGGAATTCCGTTGGCTTGTGATGTGGGTTTTTTTTTTGTTATTGATATTGCTAGTTTACATTTTAGAGGCATAACACATTAAGATGCTATATTTTGAAGGTACTGTGCCATAGATACCACTTTATAGAATTTTTGATGTTCTCTGGAATGTTTTTATACTTGAGGTAAGTTGTTTTCTAATGTTTTTATTTTCTCCAAAGTTAAATTTATATTATTTTGAAATAAGTGTCCATGGGATATGATTTTTAAAGCATATTTTTATACTAAAATATTTTAAAAGGGATCATTGGGGTATGTTTTCATATGCATTTCTTCAGAGGCCTTTAATTTTTGTTGTATACTTTTTATTGAGTAATCAAATGCTGTTTATAGTTAGGTGTTCTAAATTAAAAAATTTTTCTATCATTGGACAAATCCTAATTCATTAGTCAGCATGAAAAATATTTTAATTTCAACACTTTTCTCCTTTTACAATAGGATTGGATTCAGCATCAAAATACATCTACCCATATTGAGAGCTGTCGACAGTTACGTCAACAGTAAGAACATTTTTTTTAATAAATGATGTATTTACAAAGTAGATAAGTTCATACATAGCTATTAAGATGATTTATTGTGATACTTTGTAAAAATATTTTAAAGCTTTGACCCATTAAAAATACTAACTTTGTAGAAGCATATTGAATACTTTTCCAAAAGGAAAGAATTCAGTATGACCCTTTCCTGACTCCATCCTAACTCGCTTCTTAGTTGGTAGATTTTTTTTTTGGTTTTTGTTTTAATATCACTGGTTTATTCTTGATTGGATTGCCTTTTCCAGAATCATTTATGTATTTCAGACGTCAAGGTATATAGCATCATTTCCTTCTATTATCTGTTTCTCAAAGGTTGAATAAAACCCAACTCAAACCATAGGTTGATATTTAATTTCTAATGTAAAACTGTTCTCTGATTCAGGGCCTGTTGTAATATATTTTGAATAAGGATGAACATTGTTTCTTTTTTTTGGGGGGGGGGGGGAGGTCTGGTCGTGGGGCCTGAACTCTGGGCTTGGGTGCTGTCTCTTAGTTCTTCAGCTCAAGGCTAGCGCTCTACCACTTGAGCCAAAGCACCATTTCCGGCTTTTTTCTTTTTGCTTATGTGGTGCTGAGGAATCAAACCCAGGGCCTCAGGCATGCAAAGCAAGTACTCTACCACTGAGCCACCTTCCTAGCCCCTGTTTCTTTATTCTTTAGTTTAATTTGCTGGTCCTGGGGCTTGGACTTAGGGCCTGGACACTATCCCTGAGGTTTTATTGCTTAAGGCTAGAGCTCTACCACTTGAGCCACAACTTCATTTCTAGCTTTTTGAGCTTTAATTGAAGATAGGCATCTCATAGACTTTTCTGCCCTGGCTAGCTTTGAAACCACAATCCTCACATCTCTGCCTCCTGAGTTGCTAAGATTGTATGAGCCACCAGCACCTGACTTCGGTATAATTTTAAAATAAAGCAGTTTATTAGCTTATTTAGCTAATAGATCCAGAAGGCTGGGTCTAGTTTCAAGAACAGCTAAATTTGATTCTCAGAATTTTATATCAGGAATACTTGATTTTTTTTGCGGGGGTGTGTTCTATTCAGCACAAGTATCATAAAAACAAACTCTAAATAGCTTCCTGTAGTTGTGGACTTAATCTGTAACGCTAATATTTCCAGGAGTTTTTTTTTTTTTTTAAGGAATTCTTTCCTCATAACATCTGCAGAAGTCCTTCATCCTACTCTTTGGTCCACTTTAATTGTTCAGCTCTAAACCACTATAATAGTGGTTATGGGAATAGGCTATACCACTTTTGTTGGTATCATGCCTTCTCTAGATACTGAGTGCAATAAGCTCTACTTGAGTCATACAGATCCTATAGACTAAAAGAAATTGGTCTTGGTTCCCTATATAGTTGCTATCTATCTCAGGATAAATAGTTGATTTACAATAAACATGAAGGCAACTGTAAGTACTCATCATTGGTTTTAATTGTTTTTTGCCAGTACTGGAGCTTGAACTCAGAGTCTCACACTTATCTGGTCTTTTTGCTCGACTAGTACTCTACACTTGAGCCACTCCTCCGCTTTGGTATTTTGGTGGTTAATTGGAAAGGAGAGTCTCTTAATTTTGTCATCTGGCTGGCTTCAAACTGCAGTCTAATATTTTAGCCTCTGAGTAGCTAGGATCACAGGTATGAGTACCTTGTTATCATTGCATTTTAAATATTTTTATTCAAGTTTTGGAATTTTCTCAAGGGCCTCCAGTGGTTCTGAGAATTCAGGTCACCTACATTGTTCAGGAAGGTCTTAGTATGATTCTAGGATTCCAGATTCTCTATTGACAAAATAATCTCAAACTTAAAGATTTGGCTTTCTGGACATAGCTCCTGCTTTCTCAAAGATATACTTCAATTTTCACAATATTAAGTAACTGGAGCTGACCATATATAGAGGGAGTAGTAATCCATCAAGATAACCAGGGAACCAACCTCTAAGTAAAAAGGTATTTGTCAGAAGTTAACAGTAATCAGAGTTAACAGCAGTGGCATTCCAAGAATAGAGCATTAGGAATGGTCTTCCCAAACCACAGGTAATAAGTAGTAAACACTAGTGATGAGAAAACAATATTTAAAAATAGTTGGATCCCTGTGTTGGACACTCAGGACATGCAGAAGATTAGCTTCAGCCTGAGTAGGCCTTGAATAGCACAACATCCCAGAGTCAGCGCAATTGGCTTTTTGTTAAATTCTGAAAAGTTTTCTTCTAGAATGTCTTACATTCTGTACTTGACTATTTGTTTCCTCTATGTAATTTATTTGTTTTAAAACAAATCTTCCATTATGCACTTATTTTTTTCCCCAGTTGTAGTGGAGTTTGAACTCAGGGCCCTGTACTTGTCAGGTAGGCAGTCTACCACTTGAGCCACACTTCCAGCCCTAAAATTTGTTCATTGTTACAGATACTTCAGAGATGATGTCTAATTGTATTGTATCACATTGGGACACAGACATCAGTTACTTTTCTCTTAACCGTTTATGTTATTTACCTGCATGCTTCTAAAATAAGTTTTTGATTAATTAAGCAATACATTGTGTAGTGTTAAGCTCTGGTATACTGAGATGAGGCTGTTTCTGTAGGCATCCAGGTACAGATCTAAAACATAACCAACATTAAAGAAATTTTTTTAAGATAGTCTTGCTGTGTGTGGTCTAGGCTGGCCTTCAGTTTGGTATCCTTCTGCTTGTACCTTCTGAATGTTGGGATTATATGAATGAACTGTCATACCCTGTTTTCCAACATTTAAATATAGTCTTCCAGGTCTTGTGAGATCTTCCTGGAGAGCTCCAGAAACTTACTGATATGTGTTCATAACCAACAATATTTCTAATGTGAGAGACTTGCACATTTTAAGTAGCTAACTTTAAGGTACATGGCTATTAAATGATAACATGTACAAACCTAGTTTTGTTTGATGGCAAATGCTTTGCTTCTAAACATGTCATAAGAATAGAAGCTTTGGTAGCTTCTTGGAAGCTATCCAATAATTATTTTTAAAAATATGGAAGTCAATGAAACAAAATTATCCATGTGTTGGAAATTGTGGACACAAGGTGATGGATACTTTAAAGTTGACTTTTTTTGTTTTTATAGTTTGTCACCTCATAGTAGAAGATAGTCCTGGCAGTATTATCCACTCCCAAAGCAAGAAGAAGGGAGCAGAAGTCTTCTTAGAATCCTATTAATCATCTTTTACTTAAGTCTCATTGGTTAGAACCCTTCACTGGCTATGTCCTAGACAAGCCGGGAAAGCAAACAATCAGTAGGTTTTGATCAGAAGTAGACAAAGAAAAGGAGAAGTGAAAATTACTGGCTTGACGTGTTAACAGTATTTGATGCAAATAGTGAGTGTTTTATTACTTCTAAAGTTTTTAACCTATTTTTATTTTCCCAATATGTGCTTCGTTGAGTTTACTACCTCCATTTTTCTACCTTTCATCTTGGTACTGAAATTATATTCTTGAATATTAGTGATTTCAGTGATTTAATATACTCACTATGCTTTTATCTACTAGAGGACAGATTCTGCAGGAAAATTAAGGGTAAAGTCTTTTGAGGCTTCTATTATTCTGAGGTCTTCTCTTTTTTTTTTCTGTAATTCCTTTTTCTCCTTAAGTGTTGGTATACATAAGTTCTGTTGTCAACCCTCTTGTTTCTATGCCTACCCTTTGTTAGTCTCACTCTTTTTCCTTATGATTTTATTGTTATTGTTAAGGTGTTGTACAGAGGGGTCATTTTGTAAGTCAGGTAATGAGTACTTGAATGAAGTCACCCTTCCTTTGCTTCCCCCCAGTGTCCCCCTTTTACTCTTAAGACTACAGAGCTATTGCTTCTATATGCCTAATTTCTTATTATCTTAGTTCTCATCCTTCCAATTGCAGACATTCACAATTGTGAAAACTGTATTCTGTTGTCCTTGCTTTAGAAATATTCATGAGTTCCCTTATTATCCTTTATTTGTGTGCAACTTCATTGCTTGATTTTCTGGTCTTCTACAATTTGGCTCAATTCATGTTATCCTTGCCAAGTTTTCTTCCTTATAATTTCTTTAAATCATTCCCATGCTGTAACAGAACTAGTTCTAGGGATAGAACCCTATGTTTTTGCCTCTATTTCTTTCATTTATATATTTTCTACTAGATGAAATCTAATATGTACCATGCCTGTTGATAGGTCTTTTTAAGTATTACCTGAAAAGCACCCCATTCTGTCAATTCTGTCCTGATTCCTCTTAGATGTATAATAAGAAACACCCTTCAAATGTGTTCTGTAAGACGCCATATCAAGCCATAATAATGGTGTCTGCTGGGGTTCTATAAGGTAGACGAACTACCTTCGTTCTCTTTTAACTCTGTATCTAAGCTTGTATATTGTACCATTTCTGTGCCTCCTAACTTTTTTATGTGTGCTGCTCATTTTTAATTAAATCTTTAGGCTTTGAAGAGTAATTTTACTAATATATATATTAGCATAATAGCTTGATTATTAATTAGAAAAAATTATAATAAAATTTTTATATTTCAATATCCTATTAAATTTTTGTGTAAGTTTAGGCTAGTCCTGTTATATTTATTGCAGATATAGATTGAGCCCCAATAGTCTATTTAAACTTTATTAATATTGTTTATTTTCAAAATAGATACCCTGATTGGAATCCTGAGATTCTCCCGTCAAGAAGGTAAACAACTTTAAAATAGTGTTATTACTGGATTTTGTTTTTCTTTTGCTTTTTGGTGGCAGTCCTGGTACTGAACATAGGTTCTGTCCCTGAAGTTTTTTGCCTAAGGCTAGTGTTTTACCACTTGAGCAAAAGCTCTACTTCTAGCTTTTTAGTGATTAATTGGGCATAGAGTCTTACAGACTTTCTTACCCAGGCTGGCCTTGAACCATAATCTTCAAATTTCTGCCTCCTAAGTAATTAGAATTACAGGTGTGAGTCACTGGCACTCAGAACTGGATTTCCTTTTAAGAGTACTGAAAAATTAGGCTGGGAAGGTGGCTCAGTGGTAGAGTGCTTGCCTTGCTTGCATGAGGCCCTGGGTTCTATTCTTCAGTACCACATAAGCAGAAAAAGCCAGAAGTGGCGCTGTGGCTCAAGTGGTAGAGCCTTGAGTTGAAGGGCTGAGGGACAGAGCCCAGGCTCAAGAGTTCAGGTGCCACGACCGACAAATAAAAAGAGTACTGAAAAATTATTCTTTGAGATCGTGTCCTATTTGGATAATTTTTTCAAACAGTGGGCAAATGTAATCCTCAGCAAATTTTTTATATTCTAGCTTAAATATTTAAATGTGATACTTTCTGTCAGTGAATTGCTTTATTTTATTCTGCCTTTTATGCTTTGGAATCTTTGATTGCAAATGACTTGAACACTAGGAGTGGTCTTTAGTTAGTGCATGAAAAAAGGCTAAGAAATGCATGATGAATCTTTGTGTAAAGTAGAAAAACAAGGGTTTGAAGCATCTATTTGTTCCATACACATAAGACTGAATTATAAAAAACAGGTATTTTTGCTTTGCTTAAATACGTATATCAGAGTTTGGTATTATTAGTAGTTTCTTTTTAAGAAGGTACTACTGTCATCGAGTATAATTTAAATTTACTGAGTGTTTGATTTTTTCCCCTCTGTTTTGTAGAAATGAGGGCAATAGGAAAGAAAATGAAACTCCAAGAAGACGTTCTCATTCCCCCAGTCCTAGGCATTCTAGAAGATCAAGCTCAAGTCATAGGTTTCGTCGATCGCGAAGCCCAATACGTTACACATACAGACCAAGAAGTCGAAGTCCAAGAGTATGCCATCGTTTCATTTCTAGATACAGATCCAGATCCAGATCACGTTCACCGTGCCGAATTAGAAATCTATTTAGAGGTAGTCCAAAATGCTATCGATCAGTTAGTCCTGAAAGGATATCAAGGAGATCAGTGAGATCATCAGGTACTTTGATGCCAATGAAATTGTTTATTTTAACTAAAAATTTTAGCTCCTCATTGTTTGGATTTTAAAAATGACACTTTGTATTTTATTAAGTTTTTTAAATTGCTGCATGAAATGGGATTGACATCTCAGAGTTTGTTATTTTTGTAACTGGGAAAAGTGTGGAAGAGGGTTGGTTTGTAAGCACATTGTAGTTTGCCTTAATTATTGATTATAGATTTGCATGATTTCATTTTATACACTTTAAAAAATACTCATATTTGGGCTGGGAAGTTGGCTCAGTGGTAAAGTGCTTGCCTTGCATGCATGAGGCCCTAGGCTCAACTCCTCAGCACCACAAAAGCAGAAAAAAGCTGCAAGTGGCACTGTGGTTCAAGTGGTAGGGCGGTAGCCTTGAGCTGAAGAGCTCAGGGACAGCACCCAGGCCCAGAGTTCAGCCGCCGCATGAATGACAAAAAAAAGGAAAAAAAATACCCGTATTTAGGATAGATCTGTCTTAGTAATACTTAATATCTATTCAACAACCTGTAGGGTATCTGTTTAGATAGGTATATATACTCTACAGTGAAAGATATCATTGTTATTGTTTAGAAAGAACTTTGAACATGTCTTTTGCTGTACTTAATATATGCTAGGATTGATTATAAATAGAAATAGTTACAAATGTATACAAATGAATATAGCAGTTCTTATCAGTAGTTACTATATATATATATATACATATATATATATATATATATTTTTTTTTTTTTTTTTTTTTTTTTGGTCAGATCTGGAGCTTGGGCGCTATCTCTGAGCTTCTTTGGCTCTACTTTGAGCCACTTCCAGCTTTTTTCTGAGTAGTTAGTTTTTTGAGATAAGAGTTTCACGAGCTTTCCTGCCTGGGCTGATTTTGAACTGGGATCCTCTCCTCTTAGTCTCCTCAATAGTTAGGATTACAGGCATGAGCCACCAGTGCCTTGCCTCCAGAACTTTTTAGCGTACTGTAAATAGCTTTTCTCTGTACTGTGTTTGGAAAAATGCTAAGTGGTGATGCTTATCTCACTAATTTTTGTTGTTATTGTTTGGTATTAGGAATTATTTTTTAATAAAAATCTTAGTGCATTATTAAGCAAATTTATTTTAAATTCCATTTTAACTTTTTCTGTAGTAAGTATAAAAAAATTTTTTAGTCTCCTCAGTGTAAAAGGATTCTAATACTAAGGAATTTAGAATTACTGATATAAAGGAAGCTCATTCAGTAAAGAAACTTGATGTTAAAACCTTTTTTTATGTATTAAAATTTTCAGTTTAATTGTAAAATTGTTCTGTCATTTTGACATAAAATTTAAAGCTGCAATTTCCTAGATTATCAGCGAGATGTACACACTGGAATAAACAAACAATATATGAAGTGTAGGAGCTTTTTTCTCCAGTGACATATTTATAGTTTAACATAAATTAGAGGCCTGCTTGAAAACCAAATCCAGGATCTTTAGGTGGTTCAGTCAAAGAGGTAAGACCTCTAGCTGGCTCACAACAGAAACTTCTACTCCTTGGCCCAGGTTTTGGAAGTTGGCCAGCTTTGAGGTCATCTATAATGTACTCAATATCTTTAAGTGTCAGATCCTCATAATAGTTGTCATTTATTCGAACCGTTGGTGCATATACACAAGCCTCTAAACATTCCACCTGTGTAAGAGTGAAAAGTTTGTCAGGTGTTGTCTCCCCAACCTTCAGTCCAAGCTTTTTCTGAATGGCATCCGGTATTCTGGCTGTCAGAGTTATGAAGTATGCAAGGTGTGGTAGTGCAGACCTGAATGTGGTACTTTCCAATTGGCTTTTGATTATACATTGTATAAACGTTGTAACTTCATATAGTCTCATTGGAGGTACTTGTAAAACTTCTGCAACCTTGTTCATAGCAGAGATGGTCAACCACTCATTCTGCTTTGGGCTAAATCCAGGACTGGAAGCACAGCTGCTGCTTTGTGTCCTTCTGGATAGTTTTTCACAGTTGCTTCTATTCTCTTATAGTTTTCTGGTGTGAAATCAAATGGGATATCTGGGTTATTCTCAGGCATATCTCTGTGCACAAATAAGACTCCTCCAGCGCCATTTTGCACAGATGACTTATGCGAATTCCTTATTTGTCTTCCCTTGAATTGAAGAGCCACTGGGCAGTGAGGCTGGCTGCTCTGTCCTGGAATGCCATGGAAAAGAACATGGCGGGCCAAACTGTCAGTAGTCAAGGTTGCTTTAAAAGCCTTTTGAACAGTTAAAGACAAAGAATTTTGTGTGGGCATAACACATATAATTTTGTGTGATAAATATTAGTGCTTTTTCATAATGTCATGAGATGGTTCTTTAAGTTCTTTTCATTTAAGTTGTACTTAAATCCTTTCTTCTAGAGAGAAAAAAGGCATTAGAAGATGTAGTACAACGATCTGGACATGGGACAGAACTTAGTAAACAGAAGCATCTTGAGTCAGTTGACAAAGGACTTTCACCAGCACAAAAGTCTAAAAGTATCACCGGGACAAAGCCATCAGTTAAATCTGTAAGCGCTGCAAAGAGTGATTCAAATGTAGGACATTCTGTTCGTAAATCAAAGAATCTAGAAGATGACATCTTACCAGAATGTAAACAGGCATCTAGTAAAGCTCTGTCTCTTCAGCGTAAGGTCAGTAATTGAGTTATTAGTACAAGTATGCATTTGTTGTTTAGACAGAAAACAAAATTTTCTAAGTTTTGTCACATTCCCAGTAAATTTGCAATTATGTCTTATTTTGGTGTACTGTTTTATTAGGCTCCCTTATGAATGTAATGAAAGTTCAATAACTGAAATTTTCATCACTTAGAAATGCCAGAAGTTTGGCAAATGGTTTTGTCAGAAGGGAAAAAAAAAGTCCGCTGTAGCCAGGTATGGTGTGTCAGGGCTATAATCTTATCACTCCAGAAGCTGAGGCAAGAGGATTACAAGTTTGAGGTCAGCCTGAGCTATATGGCAAGTGCCTAACTCAACAAAAAAATAAGTGATTGTGATGATTTGATAAAGTTTCTGTCTAGCTTGACATGAAGATCTGATTGGGAAAGTAAATGTGATTAGCAGCAGCCTTGAGTTTGTTTACAGTTTCTGTCAGCAGGCTATAAGAGGGAATGTCTACTGAAAATTGATCCCCATTGTTTTATACTTTTCTGTAGTAGTTTGAAGTCACATTCTCTTAAAATAGTGTGGAATAGTTTGTTTTCTGGTTTCTTGGCTTATTAGTGGATTTTGACTAACCTACTGGCTGCTATACTAAGCTATTATTGTATATTTTGTTAAATTACTACTAAATATATTAAAATACATTCATTCTAAGACTATCAGAATAGCTTACTAAAACACTGTTTTTAGTGTATTCTAGTACTTTACTGTTTTCAAGTATTTAGGTGTACATTGCTCTCAAAATTAAATATATTTGAAGACTTGAAACTTACTTCAAAGAGGTTGTATTTAAATGGGTAAATTTTTAATAATTTAATTACGGAAGTTCAAAGAGCATTGGATGAAATGTTGAAAATAGGGGAAAATTTGAGAGGCAAGACTTGTAGTCTGATAAGGTTGTATATACAGCTCTTTTCATTTTGTTTCAAGACTTTTAGGTGGTGGCCATTTAAACTTTTTCAGTAATTTTTTTCTTTTTTAGTTAATATTTAACATGGGGTAATTTGATATTATAGTATATTCAAATATATGTAATATATATGCCTTATTTGAACTATGCCTATATAGATATTTTCTATTAGAACATAGGCTGCAAAAGCCTTAAGGACTAAAATTAATAGTAGAAAAAATTATGTAGGGAATTGTTACTGCACTTTGTGGCTTATTTGGTTTATTTTTTAATTTTCACTTTAAAATTAGCTTCGAAAAGAGCAGTCTTTGCGTAACAATTCAGTTCTTCTTATATCTGAACTACCAGAGGATGGCTGTACTGAAGAAGATATTAGAAAAATATTTCAGCCATTTGGAAAAGTTAATGATGTCCTAATTGTTCCTGGTAAAAAAGAGGTGAGTCGTTCAGTCTGTCGCAAAAACTCATACAAAGTTGCTGCTGTTGTGTTTCTATGAACTGTAGCTGCTTGTACTCCATATATAGTTGTTTACCAATATTTATGTAAAGATACTACATCTTTTATGTTTACAAAGAGAAAAATCACAAAATCCCAACAGATTGGCATACTTACTCTGTAAAGGGCTATATAATAGGATCACAGTTCTTTGCCACCATGGCATAAAAGCTGGTGTGGATGTGTAAGTGAGTAGGCATGATTGTATTCCAAAAAAAAATATTGAAATGTCATAACATAGTTGACACCACTAAAGTTGTACTAAAATAAGTGAACTGACTTTAGCTTGTATGTAAGTTGTATTTTCATGACTTTAGCTTGTATGTAAGTTGTATTTTCATAACTTGCATGACAATTTGGAACTAAGAATAACCTTAGCCAGAACAGAACATAAATTGATGAGTCAAGGCAAAGGAATATAACAAACAATAGTGTAGTCTTAATATAAGAAGCTTAAATCTGTCAGAACAAACTAAGCTAGATCTTGTCTTCCTTCCTGTTCACTTTGCATTGCCTTCCAATTGCTTCTTCTTACTCAGTGAGCTACCTCTGTGTTTCTCTTCTTATCTTGGAGTAGAAATTCTAAAAAATTAAATGTCCATTTTGTATGTGAAACACCTTAGTAATATAAAAGAAACAGAATGACCTGCTCTTTGAAGTAATTGCATAGTTTTATGTAACACAAACAAGTATTAGATCCAGTATAAAATGTAGGGTCTTTAAAAGGGAGATCTTTGACTAAAAAGTAAATTTTATTTTAGGCTTACTTGGAAATGAAATTTAAAGAAGCAATTACTGCAGTCATGAAGTATATTGAAACAGTGCCTCTTCTGATAAATGGAAAAAATGTGAAAGTATGTGTTCCAGGGAAGAAAAAAGCACAGGTAAATTTAATTTAGATCATACATGTTTTGTTGTTTTAGTTATTTTAACATTTTGTGTTAATGTGCAGAAAAGTACATAAACAACCCAACAAAGTATATGTATGTAATTTCAAATATAGTGAAATTAAAATTTTGTTTATGTATGCCCAACCCTATAAATATATGTATATGTGTATCTATACACACACCACACACACACACAATTAAATGACAAGCATTAGACTAGGAAAATATAATTTAAGATCCATAATACAAAGTTAGAAAATGCCTTAAAAAAAAAAAGTTAGAAAATGCCTGTGAGACTGCTGCCTAAGTCACAAAATAGAATATTGACAACATCTTGGAGGCCCCTTACCTGCTTCTTCCCAGTCTTTAGGCCCTTTCTTCTACTCACAGGTAATCCCCAGACTTGATTTCTAAAGCAATATTTAAGGTTCTGCTGATTCTAATTTTTGATCAGCATAGACTATGCCCTTCAGGGCCTTTTGTTTTCTTAAAATAGTGATGTTTATGATTTTGGTCTTTCTAGACCATTTTTTCTGTATTGTAGTTTAAATGTCCATAGATAATACATGTAAAAATCCTTAAAAGAAAATCTCCAATTAGTTATGTGTATGTTTTTTATTTGTTTGCTTTAGAATGCCTACTTTGTATAGCATAGATTTCTTAATAAGAGTTTAACTGACAATACGTACAGATTTTTTCTTTTTAACTTCTGTATGTTATTTTATATGAGTTACAAGTCATTATACTAGTTCCTTAGTCATTGATATTTAGATTATTTCTAAGTTTTGTTAATTATACAAAACATTAGCCCCTTGTATACTTTCACAGAGCATCTTATATTTATGGCCAGTTTTAAGGGAATACCCATATGGAATGTAGTGTACAATAATATTTGATTGCCTACAAAGTAGCTGTAGTAATAATTGACACCTTTATAATTTATGAGAGGACTATTACTTCTATACTATCATCTAGCATGTTAATTTCCTCAGTTTTGAAATTGTGGAAAATGACATTTAGTTTTAATTGGCATCTTTCTGATTATAAGTGAACTTCACCGTCTTTTGTATTATGTTTCTTATTTAATGTTTTAGCAAGTCATCTCTATTTTTTCCTTTTTTTTGTGGGTCATGGGGCTTGAACCCTGGGCTTGGGCACTGTCCCCGTGCTCTTCAGCTCAAGGTGAGTGCTTTACCACAGTGCCACTTCAAGAGTCACACGTACTTTCCTGCTTGGGCTGGCTTTGCACCATGATCCTCAGATCTCAGCCTCCTGAGTAGCTAGGATTACAGGTGCCAGCGCCAGCTTTTTTCCCATTTTTTTATTTCTGTTTTATTCTGAAACAGGGTTACACTATGTGTAGTCCAGGCTGGCCTTAAACTGGCAATCTTGCCTGAGTCTCCTGAGTGCTAGGATTATAGGTGTGCACCATCATGACCAGTTATCCATAAGTTTTTTCTTTTCTCTCTTATTTAAGTAGTTGTATAAAAGGATTTCAATTCAACAAATCAGTTTATAAGTATAGTACATTTTTGTCAGTGTTGCCCATTCCATCTCTCCCATCTTTCCCATCTTTCCCAGCTTTACCATATCCTCAAGTTATGTGGTTCCTTTTTCTCATATATACATTGAATATAATGACTATATTCATCCACCTTCCCTCTCTTTTTTATTTGTCTGTCCATCCTCTATTGCGTTTTATCGTAAGTGAAATAAATCAGTGGATATAAGAGGCTCACATTTATAACCTAGCTATTTTGGAAACTAATATTGATTGGAAGGATTTGGTTTCAGGCCAGCCCAAGATATCTTTAAGATATCTTCTCACTTGTAGCTGGGGGCGGGGGGGTGGGGGTGGTGGTGGTGCATGCCTGCTATCCCAGTCTTTTGGGAAGCTGAGATTGGTGGATCAAAGTTTCCAACCAGCCCCGAGTATTCATTTCAGTGGAAAAGCTGAGTATGGTGGTATGAACATGTCGTCACAGCTACAGTAGGATGTATAAAATAGGAGAGTTGAGGTCTAGGCGCATTCTAGGTAGGAAGTGAGACCCTGTCTCAAAAGTAACTAGCTCAAAAAAGAGCTAAAGGTGTTGCTCAATGGTAATGCCAGAATAGCAAATGCAAGGCCCTGAGTACTGTTTAAAAAAAAAAGTAAATATGGAAGGTGTTCATTTTAGTAAATAACTTTCTGTTCTATGTAAAAGTTTTTCTATGTTGCTTGTACATACACACATATATACGTATATAAAGTTTTAAATTTCTGCTATTATTTTTGGTATCATGTGTGATTGGGCTCAATATTATTTCCAAAATAATCACAAGTTAGTCACATTATTTGTAGCTAACCTGTCTTTGATTGTATATGAATTTCCCTATGTATATAGATACTTGAGATTTTTCAATTACATCAGCTTATTATTAAATTCATTTTTATTATTTTTTGTATAAAGAGTTGAATCAGTGCATCCAGCTTAGTAGGCAAACCCTCACTCAAGCCATACTCCCAGTCCTTGTTTTGATTAATTTTGGACATTTACTCAGGCATACGAGTTTTAGCATCAGTTTAAGGTCTCTGAAAACTTACATCACTTCCAGTTCAGAAACATGATCTGTCTATTCAGGTTTTGAGTAAGTTTATGATTTTCCCCATAAAGTTCTTATACATTTGGATAAGGTTAAGTTTGTTTAATATACATATAATATTTATGTAGCTATTAGAGAAAGGATCTCTATTTTTTCTCATGCATTTTCTGAGTATTTACTGCTAGGATTTTGCCTGCAGCATGTATGCCATGTGTTTATTCCTGTTGTCCTAGTTTTGATAATGAAGTATATACTTGGTTAAATATCAGTTTTATCATTTAATTTTCTTTCCAACTAAGTGAAACTTCATCAGAGGTTTATTAAATAAGATGTTGACTTAAATTGTAACAAGAAATCTGTAGGTGGCTCCATAATATCATTAGGAATCTAACCCTCTTTTTTTGCTCTACTACCTTTAGCATGTAGCTTTCATCTTGAATTGTAAAATGGTTGCTGTCTCTTCTGGCATCATTTCTATCTTCCCAGCAGAAAGGAAAGAATAAAAATCAGGAGGAAAATGGATTTGAAACAATGAGTTCCCCCAAAATATTGGCCTATTTAATTTGCCAGAACTACGGTACATGGCTATCTAGTTGCAGAGGAGGTTAAGGAGAAGCAAGAATTGAATGCATAATTTAAGAGTTTAAACTTTATCCTATCAACAGGTAAATGTTACTAAAGGGTTTGAACATAATGATGTAGATTAATTAGAGTGATTCATCTGAAAGTAGATGAATTAGGCCAGCAAATATTCTAGCACAATCACCACTTTGATTAAAAGGGAAAGAAAATAAGAACACTTAAGTTCATTAGAAAACTCATTTGAATTATCTACCTATTGTGTTAGCAATCATTTCTAGATTAGTAACTTTGAAGATAAGATAGAAAGGAAAAATAGATTGTAACAATGAGTATCAAGCAAGATCTAGCTGATCTTTAAATTTAGAGCTGGGGAGAAGACCAGTAGTTAGCTGATCATTAAATTTGGAGAGCTAGGAGGTCACTTGTGTTTAATTCTTAAAAGTTTACGAAAATATGTAAAGATACATTTTGAGAAATAGAATAGTTCAAGCAGGTAAAAATCTTTTTGGGTGACTTTTTGGTAGATTTGGCACTATAACAACATAAACCCAGGAACTCAACTGTATTTAATGTTTTCAAAGAAATGAATATGGGAGGCCTGGGAAGGTAGCTCAGCGGTAGAGTGCATGCCTTGCAAGCATGAGGACCTGGGTTCGATTCCTCAGCACCACATAAACAGAAAAAGCCGGAAGTGGCGCTGTGGCTCCAGTGGTAGAGCGCTAGCCTTGAGCTGAAGAGCTGAGGGACAGTGCCCAGACCCAGAGTTCAGGCCTCATGACCGGCAAAAAAAAAAAAGTCAAAGAAATGAATATGGGAAAATATCAGTATTCTAAGGTAGAAAATATACCATCTTCCTGTCAGAAACATTGATGTTTTTCAACTACATATGTTTTGGATGATGTTGAATTGAAGGAGACTTAAAACGGCTAGCTCCTGACTCCTCTGTTGTGATAGAGCAGCATGCCTAGGGGTTAACTGGAAAGGAGTCTCCAACACAACCCTTAATTCTACCTTCTTCAGATTGGAAGTATGTCTTTTTGGCCTGTTAACACAGTAAGTGGAAAATAAGAAGCTTCCCTGGCCCAACAAACCAGAAATAATCTGGAAGCTCAAATGAGCAAACAGGACACTGCTGTAGATTTGTAGTCTAAATCATGACTTTTGGCATAGATCTTGGAACAAAAGAGAAACTTAGTTGCCCACATTAGATGATAAAGCTGCCTACTACTGGCTACAATTAACCTAACCTCTCAGTGTTACTGCTTTTTATGATCAATGTTACAGAAGAGGCAGAAAAAAAACCCCAAATTTGTGTTAGTATGGATTTGTGTAATTCCAATGGAAACAAAGTTAAATAACAAGCCAGAATAGACCTCCACACTTAACGGTGATTTTTTTCGGTGATTTTTTTTTTTTCAGATTAGTATGTGTGCACCCACAGCTTTTTTTGCTCAAGGCTACTTCTCTGCCACTTGAGCTATGGCTCTACCTCCTGCTTTTTGGTGATTAATTGGAGGCAAGAGTCTCACTCACTGGGCTGCCTGGCCTGGCTTTGAACTACTATCTTCAGCTCTCAGCCTCCTGATTAGCTAGGATTACAAGCATGAACCATTCACTAGCTCTCAGCTTAACTTTTTTTTTTTTTAAAGTAAATTCTTCTCCACCATTAAAAATAGTTTGAAGAAAATATTCTCTCCATCTTCCTCAAGAAATAGCTACAGGCCCATACTAAAATTTCTTTAAAGGGGTAGGAACCCTGACCTAAAGAAAAGTAGATTTTCAAACAAACATATTTAATATTTTTAGGAAGATATGGGATATTATATCTAAAACTAAATCGTCGACTAAGATAGGAGAAGAGTGCATGGAAAAGAATGTTTAGAGGAAGTAAACATTTGAATATTATTGCAAATTAATGAATTAAAGGATAAAAGTGATAAGATGCAGTTAGAAATCATAGAGAAAATTTTAAAAACAGTTTCTGACATCTATTATGTGTCTGGCATATTTTATAACTGTACAAAATACAGTGATGAAAAAGACAGGTGTTGGGACTGGGAATGTGGCTTAGTGGTGGAGTGCTTGCCTAGCATGCACTTGGGTTTAATTCCTCAATATCACATAAATAGAAAAAGCCAGAAGTGGTGCTGTGGCTCAAGTGGCAAAAGAAGCTCAAGGGCAGTGCCCAGGCCCTAAGTTCAAGCCCTAGGACTGGCAAAACAAAAGACAGGTGTTAGAGACCTGTTATTTATTATTCTTGGTCTTTTGGAGAAAGTAAAAGAGTTGAAACTGATAAAAATGAGAGCTGTGGTGAATATAGACCCAGCTTAACATAACTGGTCATCTAGAATGCTCATGTTGATGTTATTTTACAGTTGTGGAGGGTTATTATGTAGTGATCTAGCAAGATAATTTCTCATGCAAGGATTGCATGAGGAAAATACGATGACTTGTAGTTCAGTATATCCATTTCAAATGAAATACTAATATTTGGTAGTATAGTGCTTTCAGATATATATGGGCTCATCATGTAATTGACTTATATATTTTTCCAAAACATAAATAAAATAAAAGAACTTAAGAAGTAGAGAATTAATTATATAAAACATGGTAATGTGCAGTGAAACCATTTTACAATAGTTAAATCTAAGTAATGTTTATAACAGCATAAATTATGAAACAGTTAAAATTATACAAAGAACTTTGGTCTAAAATCTATCTTCTGAAAGTCAGATGAGCTAGATGTGGTGGCATATATCTATGTAAAACTTAGAAATATTGACAGTTCTTGGCCAACTTAGGCCAGCCTGCCCTCTATGGTTAAATCCTGTCAGGAAAAAAAAAAAATGGAAATGAGTCTGGCATGGTAATACATGCCTGTAATTCCAGCCATTCCAGAATTGGAAGCAGGAGGATTACGAGTCAAAACTAGCCTTCATAAATTTAGTGGACCTTTTGTGTTTTTTGTTGTTGTTGTTTTTCCATCATGGGACTTGATCTAGGGGCCTGGGTGCTGTCCCTAAGCTCTTCAGCTCAAGGCAAGTGCTCTACCACTTGAGCCACAGTGCTACTTTTGGTTTTCTGGTGGTTAATTGGAAGTAAGAATTTCAGGGATTTTCCTGCCTGGGCTGGTTTTGAACCATGATCCTCAGATCTTGGCCTCCTGAATAGCTAGGATTACAGGCGTGAGCCACTTGTTTCTGGCTAGTGAGACTTTTTGATGTCAACAAAATATAAAACAATAGGCAGTCCATGTTGTTTTTGTGTCAGTTGTGGTGCATGAACTTAGGGCCTGGCGCTGTCCCTGAATCTCTGTCCTCAAGGCTAGCGTTCTACCACTTCAGCCACAATGCCACTTACAGTTTTTGAGTGGTTAATTGGAGGAGATAAGAGTCTCATGGGGACCTTTCTGCCCAGGCTGGCTTCAAACTATGATCCTCAGATCTCAGCCTCCTGAGTAGCAAGAATTACAGGCATGAGCCACTTGTTTCTGGCTAGTGAGACCTTTTAATGTCAACAAAATATAAAACAATAGGGCATGTCCCAAACCTGTGCATGTATGTGTATGTATGTGTATATGTAAATGTGTATGTGTATGTATATGTATATGTGTATATACGCACATGCCCACACACACATAAATTTTGTGGCAAAGAATGTCAGGAAAGAGGAATATAAATGTCCTCTCTTATTGGGGAGTAAGATCCTCTGTAACTCTCAAAGAGTTAGTTGGGAAAGTTTTCATTTGAAAGGTATTACTGATGTTATTGTAATTTTTCATTGAAAAAATGTTGCACAAACACATGAAAGGATCAAGCTATGTCTTCAGTTGAAAGCATTCCAGATGGAATAGCATCTGTAAAATACTGAGTGCATACCCATGTGGTCCAAAACTATTAAATGGAAAATTCCAGAAATAAGTAGTTTTAATTGGGTGCTATTCTGAGTAGTAGGATGAAATCCCTAGCTGTTATGTTTCATTTTGGGTAGAACATGAATCATCCTTGTAGATGGTACATGGTTCCTGTCCTTTAATCACTTAATACTGGTATCTGTTATGCTGACCACTAAAGAACTGTGGAGCTTGAGAACCTAAATTTTACTTAGAGTCCCAAACTGTAAGATTAGTGATGTTGTTGATTCATATATGCCAAAGAGAAACCATAAAGCACTTACTTTAAGTGAAAATATTGTAAGGTAATTTTAGGTGCCACATTCATACAACTTTATTATAATATATTGTTACAGTTACTCTGTTTTGTAATTTTGTGTTACTGTTTTTAACTTAAATACTAGACTAATAGGTATGCGTGCATATATATATATATATATATATATATATATATGTATATATGGTTTCATATTGTTTATAACTGTAGTCATTCAGTAAGGGTTTTAGAACACATACCACACAGTGAAAGGTGATACTACTGTGTTGACTTTTTTTCTGAGTCTAGATAATGGCAAATTTTATGTTGTCAAAAGTTTGTGGGTAAATGGAAAAGCAAGGAAAGAAGAAGAGGCATCCTTCTGAGGCTGATGGTAGTGATCATAGCATTCTGCCTTGACAGATAGGATCAACATGATAGTAATTAGCTATCTGAAATGTCACAGTATTCCAAGAAATAAAGAAATTTGAAAGAATAATAAAACAGGCAGGGTGGTAAAAGGTAGGATATAAAATTATGTTGTATGATTACAAATTGAAGAAAATACCTTTAAAGAAGGCATTTATACTTCAGAGAAGGAAGATTTTAAATACTTTCTGTTGACTTCCATAAGCATTCTGTATTTCCTAAATTGGTTTTTAATTGAAAAAATAAAATTGCTTTTTCAAAATATGTCTTTGTAGAACAAAGAAATGAAGAAGAAGACATCAGATTCAAAGAAATCTGCATCTGCTTTAAAGTAAGTGATTTCATGATTATATAAAAATCAGTGTGCCTATGAATTAAGAAATTTAAATTTTAGAAACTGCATGTTCAGTAACATAGTTAAAATGGAACCTTTAGATACCTGAAATTTCAGTGTTAAAATTACTAAGCCACCTGAGCCAATGTCTAATGCCTAGCTCCTCAGTAGGCTGAGATCTAGGGACTGCAGTTTGAAGCCATCCCAGGCAGGAAAGTCCATGAGACTCTTTATTTCCAATTAACCACCAAAAAACTGGAAGTGGAGCTGTGGCTCAAGTGGTGGTGTGCTAGCTTGTGCAAAAAAGCCCAGGGACAGCATTGAGACCCTGAGTTCAAGCCCTAGAACTGGTACACACTCAAAACATACAAAAACTCTACAACAGAATTACTTTAGAATTTTTAAATTGCTGCTTTTTTCTTTTAAATAGAAAAGATACAGATTCTTCAAAAAGTGTTGAAAATGCTACTTCAGCTTCTGGTAAGTTGTTAAATTTTCATGCTCTCCCAAATCAGTATATTTTGCCATCCTACTGGAAACTTATTACAAAGTGATGTTAGATGTCACTTATTGTACTTCTATGGGAGGAACTTAAGTTTTAAATTTTAGGGGAGGGGAGGGAGGTATATTGGTTTTGTTGTTGTTTGATTTTTATACATACCCCAACCTGTCTCAGCCTCTATGTAGAGTGCTGAGATTATAAGCATGTCTTAAAAATCTAATTGTTTGATACAAATGACCCATGGAATAAAGTCTAGAATGTTCGGCTTTATATAAAATTGCCCTTCTCTTCCCTATTACTTTTTCTATGTCTTGATACTCATTTGTTATATCCTAGCCACTCAGAACAGTTTATTTTCCAACTCTCCCACGTAGTTTTATCCATTGGTACTTTGTGCTGTACATTTGTAAAATTGCCTGACTTACGGTGAACTTTATTTAGTAAGTTCCTGATTAGTTGCTAGGCAAGATACTGAAGATAAAAGGTCAGTTAAGATTTTGGAGATAAATAAGGGGTGATACAAAATCCTAATTTATCTTTTAAAGGCCCATCTAAGATGATTTTTTTTTCTTAATACCTTCTCTAACTCTCCTTGGCAGGTCGGAACTCCCAATTCCCTACCAGTAATGATTTATATTTTAAATAGTTTGGTTTATAAAGGAGCCTGTCTCCCTTAGTTGGTTGATGAAGGGAATGTTTATAGTTTTTTTTTCCATCTTTTAATATCTAGTATATAAGTCAAGCTTACACTTATAATCCTAGCTATGCAAGATGTGGAGATTGGGAGGATCAGGATTCAAGGCCAGCATAAGCAAAAATGTTTTCAAGATCCTCATCTTAATGAGTAAAAACCTGGGTGTGGTACTAGGTATCTTGTCATCCAGCTACATAGAAAAATAAATAGGAAGGTAGTAATCTAGGTTGGCCCCAGCATAAATGTGAGGCCTTATTTAAAAATAACAAAGTAAAAGGGTCTGGGGCCATAGCTCAAGTGGCAGCATTGCCTTTCTAAGCAATCATGAAAACCCTGAGTTGAAAACCCAGTATCTCTAAAAAAAAATAAATTAAAGTATATCATGAGATTCTAATGAATACACATGTATAAAGAGAAGAGTACAGAGACACTTAAAGGTTTATATTAATTAATGTTATAATTACATCCATGGAAAAGCATATAGTGCACAAAATGTTGTGTTTTCTCATCCTTGATTGAACAATTTATTTTCATGAAATTTTATAGCTTTTCCCCCCAAAAAAGAGGATCTTCCCCATGACCCCCTTTTCTGATCTCAACTGAAAACCTTTTTGCCACTCTGGAGAGTGAGATCTGAGCATTGAGATTTGAAGCCAGCCCCAGTAGTCAAATCCGTGACTCATCTCCAGTTAACTTGCAGAAAGCCAGAGTGGAAGTGTACCTCAAGTGGTTGTACACCAACCTTGAGTTAAAAAGCCTTGTGAGAATGTGAGGCCCTGAGTTTTAAGTCCCAGTACTGACACACACAACAAATGGTTATTATAAATGGAATCTTGGGGCTGGGAAGGTGGCTCAGTGGTACAGTGCTTACCTTGCATGAATGAGGCCCTAGGTTTGGTTCCTCAGCACCACATAAGCAGAAAAAAATGGAAGTGGCACTATGGCTTAAGTGGTAGAGCACTAGCCTTGAGCTGAAGAGCTGAGGGACAGTGTCCAGGCCTAGAGTTCAGGCCCTATGACCGACCTAAATAAATAAATAAATAAATGGAATCTTTGTGGTGCAACTCATCTATCATATTCATTTCTAAAAGTGATAAAATTTCATAAGACTATACATTGATATAAAACTGGTGAAATCTTAATGTTGCTAGATTCTGTCAATGCCATTTTCTTATATGTGATACTGTATTTTAGTTACAAAAAAATTACTACTGAAAGCAACCTGAGTAAAGGGAGGTATATGAATGTGCAGTTATTAAATTGAAGTTTAAAGTCTTAATTATGGTAAAGCCCTTTACTATATATTAAAACTAGAAATTTCAGTTAAGGATTTTGATGTTAAATTCTAAAGTCATATTTTAGTATTTACTGCCTAGAACTGCTTAACAGCAAAAAGTTCCTGAGCTTTTATCTCAGCTATTAAAAATCTTAGTTCAGTAGTATGGTCCTGTCATCTCAATTGCAAGTATAAATTGGAAGATCTCAATCCAGGTTGGCTCATATATAAATTTGACACCCTATTTGAAAAATACCTGAAGCAAAGAAATAAGAGAACAGCTCAAGTGATAAAGTACTTACTGGCAAGGCTTGTTTTCCTGAGTCCAAACCCCAGTATTGCCCAGCTCTCTCTCCATCCTTCCTGGAAAAAAAAAAAGAGGAGAATATACCTCACTTACGTACTTTTCTAGGTACTAAAAAAAGTACTTGGTATTTTCAATGGCTTTTTCTTTTCTTTTTTTAATTTTTGGGGCTGACACTTTAATTCAAGACCTCATGCTTATTCATCTTGATCATGGCTAACACTCTACCACCATCTAAGCCAGACTTCTAGTCTAGTATTTTATTGTTTAATTGGAGTAAAGTCTTACAGACTTTGCTGCTAGACTGACTTTGGCCCCAGTCCTCTTTAAGTTTCAGCCTCATGAGTATCTGAGATACAGGCATGAACTACCCACCAGTGCCAGACCTTCAGTATTCATTTTCATCATATCTGTCTGTCTATAAATATATGTGTATGCATATACATACTTACACATATATATGTACATATATATACATGCTTACACGTATATATATGTACATATATATGTATATATCCTTGCATCAAATACAATATTGTGTATATAAATATACATATTTCTTATGCTGGAGATTGATACTATTTATGCAAAGATTTACAAAAGTACACATGTTAAGCCAAACCAGTTACCACTTCTTTGAGTTAGTGTGTTTTTCTAAAACATACATATAGCCAGTAGCGAGTGCATTATTTGTTATGAGGCATGAAAACTGGAAAATCAGGGACAACATAAAAGTACCGTGGTATAATGCAAAATTCCCAGAGAATCAGTTTAAATACTAAATGTAATGATAGTAGTTCAGTTGCATACATAAAAACCAGCCACTTAGGGATGGAGGCATGATCTACATGGTTGAGTGCCTAGCCAGCAAGCTCAAGGTTTTCTAAGTTCAATACCAAATAGTACCATCAGATCAGATAGTCGATCATTTATTTAATCAGTACTGTAACTTAATTGCTAATAAGTCCTTTGGCATATACCTGTAACTCTAGCAGCTCTGGAGGTTGAAATATGGAGTATCTCAGTACAAGGCCAGTCTGGCAGAAAAATTCTCTGGACTTCATCTTCAAAATAACTAGCAAAGCCAGTCACCGGTAGCTCATGCCTAATCCTATACTCAGGAGGCTGAGATCTGAGAATCACAGTTCAAAGCCAGCCCAGCCAGGAAAGGCCATGAGACTCTAATCTCCAGTTAACCACCAAAAAAATTGAAGTAGCATTGTTGCTTAAGTGGTAGAGTGCTCAGCTTGAACTGAAGAGCTCAGGGACAGCACCCAGGCCCAGAGTTCAAGCCCATGACTGACAAAAAAAAAAAAAAAAAACAGTACTGGAGGGATATCTCACAGTGGTAGAGTGGCATTCAAGCAACTAAGAGGCTGAGTTCAAGCTAGTGTAGCCAAAAGAAAGAAAGGGAGGGAGGAAGCAAGGAAGCATAGGAGGGAGAGAATGAGAGAAAAAAAGAGGAGGGGAAGGATAAAGGGAAAGGGAAGGCACACAATATAATGAACTTTGAAGTATTTAGTACATGTGCAACATGTAATAGATAAGAAACTGACTTGGGTAGATAGCCTCAGTTATAAAATACCTTTTTCATTAACTGGTAAAAAATCTATCAATAACATTTTTTAACTATATAAACTGGTTGTAACATTTACATATTTTAAAAAGGACCTGAAGAATGGCAGGAGAATTCTTCAAAGGACAGAAATTAAGACTGTCCCAGGTACTGTAGTTGTATAATACAGTATCACAAACAGGAAAATGACATTGACTTTTATAGCCTTGAAATATTTAAAATAGTTTCCTAGTATTGCAAAATAGACAACAATGTCATTAGGATTAAAGAAGAATTCAGAAGTACTTCCCCAAACCTATCAGTTATTTTACCAGTAAATCATGATAAAATATCATACTTGTTCAGGGGACGGGAGGAATTGAATCATTCATTCATTTGACCAACCTCTTTTTTACTTTTGATTAAAGAGCAAGGGAACAGGTGACATTATCCAAAAAGAAATATACTCCTTACCTGACTTATATAACTATAACCCTTCTGTATATCATTTTTATAATAATAAAAAAATTTGAATTAAAAAAATGAAAAAAAAGTAAAGCACATAGGTAAAAATGTTATAGATGGATCAGAGATTTATGTCGTGCCTAAGCTTTTAAAGGTACTGAAAAAATATGGAAACTTGCAAAGTGAAGGACTGGAGGCATGGCCTGGGGTGGTATATCACCTGCCTGCAAGTTCAAGGTTACTAAGTTAAAGCCTCAGTATCACAAAAAGAAAGTAAGGAAGACATCTGTTTACATAAAAGTGTTTTGTGTAAGTATTTTGCATACTTTTTTTAAAAGTTACCTTTTAGTATTTAAAGATATCGAATACATAATATTACAAAAATTTACAGCCAAAAATAATTTGGCAAATAGTGTGCATAAGCAGACTACAGATGCTAAAATATAAAGGACTTTTTTAAGTATGTGAAAATTAATACAATTTACTCATAATTAAGGCTAAAAATAAACCATCCCAGTGTTCTTATCACAGTGGAAAATAGGTATGTTATATTAGCTAAATAAATAATCTTTTGTGTTTGTGTAGAAATGATAGCAAATCATTCTTACATACTATTGATGGAAGTATTAAATGATAAAGCCCCCCTGGACAACAGTTTAATATTATTAAAATTTAAGTGTATGCCTCTTACATATCAAGTCCATGTCCAAGAATTAGCCCCAGAAATAATTCCCCAAAAGTTATGTACAGAGATGTTTCTCATAGTGTTCTATCAAAAATATTGCAAGGATAATTCCTACCTAATTCTAAATGATACTATTTGTAATATATAATTGAGATATTATTCTTATTTCAGCCAAAATTGGACAAGCTAAAACATCACTACCCAAAGTAAACAAATCTTCAGGTATGTTGTTCTTGTTTTGTATGTTTTTTGTGGTGGTCTGGGTAGAAATCAAAGTACAGGCCTAGTGCATGTTGGGTAAGTGTTCTAATTTTTCAGTAATCTAGAAAATATTAATATTTTTGCAATTTTTATAAGCTGTACTGGGCTTTAAGGTGATTATTAATAATTTTGAGCCAGGTACTGGTAGCTCATGGCTGTAATCCTAGCTACTCAGGAGGCTGCAATCTGAGGATTGTGTTTTGAAGCCAGCCCAGGCAGGAAAGTCCGAGAGACTCTTTATCTCCAATTAACTTCCAGAAAACCAGAAGTGGTAGTGTGGCTCAAAGAGGTAGAGTGTTGACCTTGAATGAAAAAGCTCAAGAATAGCGCCTAGGCCCTAAGTTTAAGACCTACTGCTGACACAAAGAGAGAGAGAGTCTTTAACCTGGCATGATCCTCTTTTCTCCTTTCTTTCTTTCCTGTTCTGTTAAATATAGGTTAAGTCAGTGTCAACATTTAGGATAAAGAGCAGTTGTCTTCCATATATTAAAAAGGCACAGAAGCAGTTTTTTTACTAGGAAATAACCACTGTTGGTGGCAGAAACAGTTTTCTTGTAGTAATTTTGTAGAAGCAGTCATCTGAATTGGTAGGAAATCTCTCTTGAAATTTCATTTATTTAACAGACTCTGCCATCACTTTGATTATAAGTTTATGGGAGTCACCTGTGGAGATTAGATGTGTTAGGTACTAAAGCCATCTAGTTAATTAAGCCTTAACTGTTGTATTGCCAGCTATTATTCCTTAAATCCTTAAATTCTGGTACTCAAATAGAAATAATAGTGAATTGACTTGTGATAGTAACAGGGATAGTAAAGGAAACTCCTTAATGGCTTACTGAAGGTCATTTCTCATCAGTATAGCAAAACTTCTGAAATAACTTAAGAATTGGCTAGTTGAATGACACCCTATATGGATTGGTACAATAGTTCCCCTTCTGGATAAGGATATATTTCAAGATTTCCATAACATGTTCAAACTTGAAAATAGTACTGAATCCTGTATGTACTGTTTTATTGTGCTTATACATAATAATAAGTACAGTACTTATATATTGCATTGTACTTATATAATAAGTCCAGTAAAATTGAATTTGTAAATTAGGCACAGTAAGAGATTAGTAACACTGATAATAAAATAATAGTAACACAAGTAGAATACTTAAGTTCTGTATCTTAAATATCTAGTACTACATAAACCTTTTTTTTTTTTTTTTTTTTTTTAATATTTTTTTTGGTCCGGTCATGGGGCCTGAACTCTGGGCCTGGGCACTGTCCCTCAGCTCTTCAGCTTAAGGCTAGTGCTCTACCAATTGAGTCACAGTGCCACTTCTGGCTTTTTTCCTTTTGCTTATATGGTGCTGAGGAATGGAACCCAGGGCCTCATGCATGCAAGACGAGCGCTCTATCACTGAGCCAACTTCCCAGCCCCTACATAAACCTTTTTACTAAAAGAAGCATTTTATGGTTTCTCTTTGGTATATGAGTTACCATCATTACTATTCATACTTTGTAGCCATAATTAAGTTATTTGAACATGAACATATTCTAGTAAGTGACTGATAGACAGGTAAGGTAATGTGTGTACTGAACAATGGGAAGATTTAGGTCCCAGGATGAAGCAGGACAGCTGGTGATTTCTTCACAATACTTAGCATAAAACGTACACATTGTTTGTTTTTGGAATTTTCTATTTAGTATTTTTGGTCAGTGTGTAACTGAAACTATGGAAAATAAAACTGCAGATAAGAACACTATAATATTCCTCTTTTTGAACTGACTATAGCTTCTCTGGGTATAAAAAGCAGATGGACATTGGTGACTCATACCTGTAATCATAGCTACTCAAGAGTCTGAGATCTGAGTATCATGGTTCAAAGCCATCCCAGTCAGGAAAATGCTGACTCTGATCTCCAGTTAACCACCAAAAAGCCAGTAGTGGAGATGTAAGTGATAAAGTGTTTGCTGTGAACACAAAAGCTGACAGTCCCTGAGTTCAAGCACACACTGACACACACACACACACACACACACAGATTAGTGGACTATTTCTATTGTTTTTTATGGTTGACAGTGCTTGTTGATATGTGATATGATTTTTGAAAGTAGGATTTTAGTTTCTTTAAGATAGTTGTAACAACCACTCTCATTTATATGGAGATAATACACAGAAATCAAGTAATGCCTCAGGGCTCCTCAATTTTAATTAAACATAGACCCACTGATTTCTAATTCTGGACTTTTTCTTTATCCTTGCTAGTTGTTATGAATCCTAGTTTTCAGAGAGAAACGTCCTCTTTCTGAATGGAAAAGGTTTTGGCTCACTGTGATATTTACAGTAATTTTGATCATAACAGTTTTATAAATAGCATGGAAAAATAAGCAACAGTTGAAATGTAGGTTAAAAAAAGATCAGAAAAACATAATCCTGCGCAGGTAGGACACACTAGGAATGAGTGAAAGCAATCTTTAGGTTACCTTTTCTTTGGCAGTACTGGAGTTTTTAAAATTATTATTATCATTTTTTTTTAATGCGACCTTTAAAGTTTTTTTTTTTTTTGTCCAGTTGTGGGGCCTGAACTCTGGGCCTGGGTGCTGTCTCAACTCTTCAGCTCAAGGCTAGTGCTCTACCACTGAGCCACCTTTCCAGCCCCCCTTTAAGGTTTTTTTTGTTTTTGTTCTTTGTTTTTCTGAGACCAGAACTCAAACTCACTTTCACTCATTGGTTCTCTTTCACTCTTACCTGAGCCACGCCTCCAACCACACCTTGAAGTATTTTTGAATGCTTTCAATCCTAGGGCTTTGTGCTTGTCCAGCAAGCACACCGCCATTGAGTTACATCTATTTCTTTCTTTCTTTCTTTCTTTTTTCCCCTGGGCCTCAGTTCTTCAGCTCAAGGCTAGCACTCTACCATTTGAGCCAAGCACCACTTCCAGCTTTTTCTGTTTATATGGTGCTGAGGAATCGAACCCAGGGCCTCAGGCATGCAATGCAAGCACTCTTACCACTGAGCCACCTTCCCAGCCACATCCCATTTCTTGAGACAGTATAGCTCAGACATGCTTTGTTTTTGTTTTTTTGAGCTGAGACTTGAACTCAGGGCCTTGCACTGGCCAGGTAAGCGCTGTTCCACTTAACTAAATCCTCAGCACTCAGACTTGCTTTGAATTTGCGAAGTACCCATGCAGTCTTGAAATTGTCATCTTCCTACCTCAGCCTCCCAAATGCTAGGATTATACACATTACCACCATACTAGTCTTGAATGCTTTTCATTCAACTGAGAGCCAAAGAATTGTGGATAGGGAGGCTCTAGGTTTAATTGCAGCAAAACAAAATTCGTATTCAGTGTTTCAAGGTTTTGTTTTGTTTTGTTTTTTCAGAAGGGATTATCATCATTGCTGGATTTAGAAAATGACTTATACTCCCCAAGATAATGGCATTTTAAAAAAATAAAACATAGTATATAATATTGTTTGTTTTTGTTGGTCATGGGACTTGAACTCAACCTGGGCACTGTCCTTTGGCTCTTTAGCTCAAGGAGAATATTCTACCCTTTGAGCCACAGCACCACTTCCAGTTTCTGGTGGTTAATTGGAGATCAGAATCTCACGGATGTCAGGAACATCCCAGGCAGGCCTGAGCTGGCTTTGAACCATGATCCTCAGATCTCAGCCTCCTGAGTAACTAGGATTATAGGTGTGATCCCAGCTCTATTATATTGGTGTGGGGGGGGGGGGGGGTTCTTTGGAGACTGATAGCACAATCAGCAAATTAAGCAAATCAGTTTTGACTGCAACTTTTCTGATTTAGGAAAATCTGCTGGTTCTGTAAAATCTGTGGTAACAGTAGCTACTAAAGGTAAAGCTTCCATCAAAACAGGTAAGATTCAGATAAAAGGTTTTAGTAAATCTATTTTTAGTTCTTTCTTGAATGTTACAGTATCAAAAAAGTTTTAAATACACAACTTTTAATATCTAATAACATCTTAAATAATTTCGTTGATATCTCTTTGCTATTTAAAATCTCACCCATTTTGGACTTTATTTATTGATACTTTAATCTTGAGCAGTATCTGCTATTGAAGATGTTTCTTGTGGAGAGGTAAAAGTCACATACATGTGTGTGTGTGTGTGTGTGTGTGTGTATATATATATATATATATATATATATATATATATATATGGATAAGTGTCTAGTTTTGACAAATACAAGCTGCTCTATTACGGCCCCCGTAAATGGTTTAATTTTCATGTACATGTTTAAACTGTCATGTATACATTTCATAGCTTATTCCTCTGATATTTGTTACTGTAGGAGGGTTATTTCCATATTGGGAGGATGCATTTTCTCTATAACAGTATAAAATGACTCAAAATAAATGCAGCCTATTGAAATTAATATTCTTTAACAAAATTTCAACAAACAAAATTTCAAAATTCTTTTGTTGTTGTTGTTGTTTTGTTGGTATGTATTTCTTCCACATGAAGTTTGTTTAAGACTTGCCAAAAACCATCAAAAAATTATATCTCAGGGCTGAGAAGGTGGCTCAGCCTTGCATGCCTGAGGCCCTGGGTTTGATTCCTCAGTACCACATAAGCAGAAAAAAAAAAGCCGGGAGTGGCGCTGTGGCTCAAGTGATAGAGTGCTAGCCTTGAGCTGAAGAGCGGAAGGACAGCACGCAGGTCCAGAGTTCAGGCCCCATGACTGGACTCCCCATCCCCCCCCCCCCCCCAAAAAAAATTGTATCTCAGCAGGTGCCAGTGGCTAATGCCTATAAGCCGCTCGGGAAGCTGAGTTCTAGAGGGCAGTTCAAAGGCAGCCCTGGCAGGAAAGTCTGAGACTCTTATCTCCAATTAATCACTAAAAAGTCATAATTAGAGGTGTCATTCAAATGGTTGGTAAAGCCACCAGCCTTGTGCAAAAAACTAAATATTAGTGTTTATATGCTAGGTTCAAGCCCCAGTAATGGCACAAAAACACAACTCAATTTAAATTTGCTTTCAATATTAAAGAACTGCCTTTATAATAAAACTATGCTGTTTACATACTTACGTATTAGTTTTAAACATGCTAAGTGATTGAACAGACCCGTATCTTTAATCATTTCTCCTCCTAAAAGCAAAATCTACTGGAAAGAAGTCTCTAGAAGCTAAGAAGCCTAACAATGTTAAAAACAAAGACTCCAGTAAGCCTGTGACAGTACCAGGTAAGCTGGAAGTAATCTTTTTGAGCCTTCAAGTATATTTTGAAAATTTCCTGAACGAGTCTCACAAGAATTACTTCTGTTTCTCAAAAAGTTTATATAAGCTGGGCACTTATATAAGTCACACCTGTAATCCTAGCTACTCAAGAGGCTGAGATCTGAGGATCATACTTCAAAGCCACCTTGGGCAGGAAAGTCTATAAAGTCTTATGTCCACTTAACCACCAAAAAGCCAGAAGTTGAGCTTTGGCTCAAGCAGTAGAGCACTAGTTGAACAAGCTCTGGGTTATTAGCACCTAGACCCTGAGGTCAGGCCCTAGGACTGGCACCCAAACAAAGAAAAAAAAGAAATTAATATAGATTTCACTTGGGTTAGAATGAGAAGACCTGAAATGGACAAAAGATGCTAAAATTCTTGTGTAGATTTATTAGTTTATTGATAGTAGTGTTTTTTAGATTAATAAAACTGACTATTTTATGCAGCAGACTCTGAAATGAAGGCCAGTGTGGAAATCAAAGTCATTGATAATACTGAAGAGATTATTTCAGGTAGGCCAATAGTATAGTTCTATTTTCTTCTCTTTAAAGATAGAAGGAAAACTAAAGTTTTAAGTTTTGTGCTAAACATATTTTTTACCCTCAAAATCAGGGTCATACTAAGTCAAGAACATTAGAACCACTTCAGTGTCTCATGCCTGTAATCCTAGCTGCCCAGGAGGTTGAGATTTTAGAATTGAGTTTGGACCCAGCCCAGGCAGAAAGTCTGAGAGACTCTTTTATACCCCACAAACTATCAGAAACAATAACAACAACAAAAAGACAGAAGAAGGGGGCTGGGAAGGTGGCCCAGTGGTAGAGACCTTGCCTTGCATGCCTGAGGCCCTGGGTTCGATTCCTCAGCACCACATAAGCAAAAAGAAAAAAGCCGGAAGTGGTGCTGTGGCTCAAGTGGTAGAGTGCTAGCCATGAGCTGAAGAGCTGAGGGACAGCGCCCAGACCCAGAGTTGAGGCCCCACAACCAGACCCAAAAAAAAAAAAAGACAGAAGAGGAGCTATGGCTCAAGTGGTATAGAGCACCAACCTAAGTAAATAAAAATTTTAAAGTGGAATATAAAAATAAGATTTAGATTTTTACTGTGGATTGTTCTGAAATTAAGGAATAAACCAGATGTGTTTGTTAGAATCCCATGTCACTATTGTAGTTATTTCCTACTAATCATCTAGACTTTTGTCAGTTGTAAACATTTTCATATAATTACTAGTAGGATTATATTAAATATCTGTCTGAGTTTTAAAAAAATGTAACTAGTCATTGTTTTTATTATATTTTGGTGTTAAGAAGCTGCTTTGGAGGCCACAGAAAATGAACCAGTGAGCAAGGTTAGTTTTTTTTTGTTGTTGTTGTTTTTAAATTTGTATAGAGGGGTTACAATTACGTGGGCAAGATAATGAGTGCATTTCTTATCAAGCATTGTAGCCTCCTCCTTTGTTTCTCCTTCCCATCCCTTCCCATTCTCCCCTCCCCACGTCCCCTCACCCAATCCTCCCTGCCCCCCCCCCCACCAAAGTTGTAAAGTTCATTTTCACCATAATGACTTGTACATCTCATTGTTGCAATGGGTCCACCTGTATCCCTATTTAAACGATTTGTTTTTTCCCTTCCCCTCCACAAATTATACCGACATTAAATAAAGTGAAAGCAGGGGTTATACTGTGGGGGAGGGACATACAAAGCAACAAAGAAATAATCTTATAAATGTGTTAGAAACAATCACATGAAAGAAAAAAAAAACATTTGAATACATATCTTAGGGTTCATTTCCCTAACATCACCTTATCTGACCTTTTCTGCTTGACTCAGACATATAATATTGCAAATAAGAGAAACCATGGGACCTGTGTTTCTTTGGGCCTGGCTTACTTCACTTAATATAATTTTTTCCAAGCGTTTCCATTTCCTAACAAATGAGGAATGTCATTCTTTCTGATGGAGCCATCGAATTCTTAATTGTCACCTCTTTTCTTGTCTCATCAAATCTCAAGTCCTGTTTCTGGATTCAAAGTCCTTACCTATATCTTTCCTGTCCAGGTTATACTTCTCTTATTTCCCGAGTTCTTTCCTCCCCTCCAGCTATTTTGGGTTGCTCAAATCCCAGGACATACTAGAATTATTCTTGTCTCAAGGATTTGTCCTGTGGTTTACCTAGTCTTTATTTACCTTATTCTTTTAAAACAAAAAACTTTTAGCAAAATACATTGTTCTTTAAGACTAAGGTAAAAAATAATCTACCTAAAAACTACTCTAAGTTACAGAGTAAGTCCCCCAAATTTAGGAGCAGATTATCAATAAATGTTTTTTCAGGGTAGGTGGAATTTGGACTTGGGGTCTTGCACTTGCTAGAGAGGTGCTTTATCTGTAAGCTGTGCCTCTAGATTATTTTTTCCCCAGAGAACAACTTGTTAAATTGCAATTGTTTTTCAGGTAAAGTGGAGTGTATGTGCGTGTGTGCATGCATGTGTACATGTACTGGGCCACTTGATTTTTTTGTTCAAGGCTGGCATTCTACCACTTAAGCCATACTGCTCTCTGTTTGTGTGTGTGCGTGTGCGTGTGCGTGTGTGTGTGTGTGTGTGTGTGTGTTTAGGCGCGTGCGCATGTGCATGGGTGTATAAATGTGAGTCTTACTGATTTGTCTGCCTAGGCTGGGTTCCACCCTTGATCTTCTGATCTCAGCTTCCTGAGTAGCTATGATTATAGGCATAGGCCACTGGTACCCCACGATAAACAACTTTTGAAATTAGAACCAGTACAAATTTATAAAAAAAATTTTCTCATTACATGCATATGAGAGATATGATAATATTTGCAATACTAGGGAATTTCTTTGTTTATACTTATGGAGATATAAATTGATTATTTAAAAGACATAGTCTTTTATCATTTTCTTGTGACTTATGTCATTAAGCATGTGTTAAAATTGTGGGCTGTGGTGGCATATGTTAGTAGTCAGGGAGAGAAGATCACCAGTTAAAGACAAGCCTGGGTTATACCTTAAACAAAATGGCCCTGATACTGGTGGTTCATAGCTTCTCAGGGGGCTGTGATCTGAAGGTTGCCATTGGGAGCTAGCATGGGCAGTAAAGTCTGTGATACTCTTTATCTTCAACTAACCACCTGAAAACAGAAGTGCAGCTATGGCTCAAAGTGGTAGAGCTCTGTCCTTAATAGAAAGGCATAAAAATAACATTCAGGCTCTAAGTTCAAGCCCCACAGCAAATAAAAACAAAACAAAGATCTAGTCTTAATAATTTAGATTTTACTTGTTTCGATTTTAAGGTCACTCTAATGCTAAACCTAGGTTCGTTTTTTCTAACCTCTTCAAGAAGCAACTAAAATCTTATTCCATTAAAGTACTATTGAAGGAGTGATTTATGAATGCATGTAACTGGGCTGGGTAAAAAAAAACTAGTTCAAAGTCACTGGTTTATGAAAATTACTACTTCTTACCTTTTTCTCACAAAATATCAAAAATATTGCTAAGTTTGCTATAGCACATCTTTAGGATATTTTTTTCCCAAAAATCAACCCAAGGAAAAATTGGCTTGATAAGAGAATATATTTTAGAGAATAAAATATATCTGCGAGAAAGAATGGATTAGCTAAAACAAAGCACTTGATGGGGATCCAAAAGAAATTGTTTTTATATTGCCTGAAAGTGATAATGTTATTGAGAAAGATAAAAATACTTGCTGCTTTGGAGGTTGAGGCTGTATCATAACAGGGCATAGAAATGGCAGTAGTACATGAAAAGAAGAAGAATCATTGTCAGAGAAAAGTAGACTTGTGTTTTCATATAAAAGGAGGAGACCTACAGACCTGAACTAAACAGCTGGTATGACTGTAATTACTTTGTGTTTGATAAATGGAAATTTGAAAATGGAGGAAACATTTGATTTGAGGTTCAGGTCAGCCTTCTGACTACATTAGGCTTTCTTCAGTAGTAAATGCAAATTGAGTAATAATTTAACATGACAGTATGAAGTATAACTTATATAAATGTAATTTCTTATTTTGTTTTGAAGGAAACAGAGGAAATGTGTGTAGTACTTATTTCTGATTTGCCTAATAAAGGATATTCTGTAGAAGAAATTTACAACTTAGCAAAACCATTTGGTGGTATAAAGGATATTTTGATTTTATCATCTCATAAAAAGGTAAGAGTTGATTTGCTATTCATATTGTCTGCAAGCACACTTTGAAAAAAATCTATGAAAATATTGACTTAAATTACCCTAACATTGTTTTACCATGAGATGTTTTCTTAATGCATGGCACAAATGTCCTTTATTTTAGTATTGTACTACTCAAGCATAGTTTTAAACAGCTTTGCTCAAAATTTTGACTATAAAATGCTTATCTCATATGTTTTTTAAAAAATTAGTAATTTTTTATTTTTTGGTCGGTTATGGAATTGAATTTATGTCCTGAGTGCTGTTCAACAGTCTACCACCTGAGCCATGGCACCACTTACAGCTTAATTAGGGATAAGGGTCTCATAAACTTTGCTGCCTGGGCTGGCTTGGAACTGTGATCCACAGATCTCAGCCTCCTCAGTAGATGATTTACAGGTGTGAGCCACTGGTGCCTGGCTTCTAATATATTTAATAAATATTTTCATTTTATGATTTTCTAGATCATGATTTTACTAGTATTTTTGTTTTTTCACCAGTGATACTCAATTCCACTCTCAGCAGTGCTTACAACAACCTAGCTTTTTCTTCCGTATATATTCCATTTGTAATTGTAAAACAGCACAACAAAATCTTTTTGTTAATATTAAGCAACTTGTGGAAGATAATTAAAAATTATGTCCTTAGCTGGGACCGGTGGCTCACGAGCCTGCAATCCTAGCTACTCAGAAGGCTGAGATCTGAGGATCACAGTTCAAAGCCTGCCCAGGCAGGAAAGTCCATGAGACTCTTATCTCCAATAAACCACCATAAAACCAGAAGTGGCACTGTGGCTTAAGTGGTAGAGTGCTAGCCTTTAGCTGAAGAGTTGAGGGACAGTGCCCAAGGCCCAGAGTTTGAGCCCTACGACCAACCAAAAAAAAAAAAAAAGAAAGATGTCATTGAAGTGGTTGGAAGACAATTTTGAACTTAAGTCTTCCTGTTTTCTAGGCAGACATTTCTACAACATTGAGCCAAACACTGAAAGTAGTGTTTTTGTTATAGAAAGTATTTGGCATTATTAAATCTGTGAAACTAGAGTTAGATATATATTCGATGATTATCAGAGCCAGTATGCTTGAGAAAACATCAAGTGAGTACAACTGATTTAAAGTAGTTCTCTTATTAATTGACTGATTGTGTAACTGTATAAGTATACTAAAGACCATGAAGTATAAATTGTTAAACAGTTTACTGTTATATTTCAATAAAGCTGATTTTTAAAAAGGGGGTTATTTCTGATGTTTATAGGCAGATGATAATATGAAAGCAGTTTTTAATATTAGATTTGTTTTTATTGTGACTATATTGAACTAGGGAGAATTTTAGGTAAAATTGTTACATCAGATACCAAAACATTTATAAATACATAGGTTAAATAAAGTTTAAGGGGGGTGGGGGGAGGATGGAATGGGAAGGGGAAACAGGAGGAGGCTACAATGCTTGATAAGAAATGTATTCATTATCTTGCCCATGTAATTGTAACCCTTCTATACAGTATTTCACAATCAAAAAAGAAAAAAGAAAATTTAAGCACAGACCTATTAATACTTTTAGATATGACCTGGAGAAATATCAGATTCAGTTCCCCTGTCCATAAGAGTTAGATTCCAAGACCTCAATAGATACCTGAATCTGTGGATTATATATGTATATATTTAGTATATTTATACTATTTCCTCTTTCAGAAACAGACTTAATTCCCTTTTCATTATAAATTAGTACTTACTACACACAGTGGCTGTAACTTTTATAGTTTAAAATGTGACAGCCAAACTAGCAAAAATTGATGTTTTTTTGACTGAATAAAATCATGGATTTAAGATACGCTGTTAGCATAAATTCTAGCAACTTTTGCCTGCATTTTTTATTTACTATGTAGAGAACTTTTATAGTTTCACTTAAAGGATCTTGAAAAGTTCAGATCAGATCTTGAAAAGTTTTTCTGTAAAATGGAAAAAGGAGTTTATGTCTACATTATGTTAGGGCATATTAAAAATTCAATAAAAATTGGCAAATAAATTAGGGATAATTTAATAGACCTACAGTTACATACACAGGTACTGATGATTTCTATCAAATGTGTAGAAGAACGTTTAACCTATTATCTAATAAGAAAATATATACAGCCACATTTCTTTTTTTTTTTAATCTTCTCTAAGTCTTTTATTTAAAAATCCACATCTATTAATATTAATTTTCTTTTTTTGGGGGGGGGGGTCCGGTCATGGGGCCTGAACTTTGGGCCTGGGCACTGTCCTCAGCTCTTCAGCTCAAGGCTAGCGCTCTACCACTTGGGCCACAGCGCCACTTCCGGCTTTTTTTCTTTTTGCTATATGTGATGCTGGGGAATCGAACCCAGGGCCTCATGCATGCAAAGCAAGCGCTCTACCACTGGGCCACCTTCCCAGCCCTACAGCCACATTTCTTTAGTTTTTTTCTCACATTTTCATTTTAACAATCATTACATTTATTTATTGAAGAAATACTCATAAAATGTCTTATATTCTGGGTACTGATAGAGAGCTAAGGATGCAGTAAGAAAATTTTTTTGCTGCCAAGTTGTTTTAAGTCATTTTACTTTGAAATATTAAGTATTTTCAAGAAAATAAGGTTCTTTTACTTTCTATTTTTAAAGGCATATATAGAAATAAATAGAAAATCTGCAGATTCTATGGTAAAATTTTATACTTGCTTCCCAATGTCCATGGATGGAAATCAACTCTCGATAAGTATGGCTCCTGAAAGCATGAATATAAAAGATGAGGTAAATCATAGATTTTGAGCTTCATTTTTATTAGATCTTTCAAAATGTATAATCAAATTCATTATGCTACTTAGTTTTTTTCTTTTGGTTACGTGTTGTTATCTAGCTTTTCCTCTCTCTGTAGTAAATCACTGTCTCCTATTTGTGAGTTACGTTCATATTGAGGAAATTCTATGTCTTAGGTTTGTTGGATTGGAAAATAGTTGAAAAGTATTTGAAAATTCAGTCATCCAAACAGGGATTCTGAAGTTTTTGTTTCTCTCATTTCTCACATTTTTTTTCCTCATTAGATGTCATCTATTTTAACTGTTTAAAGATGTTCCCTCTACTATTGCTATCATCTCAAGTTTTCACTAGAGAATAGTTGAACTCTTCCACCTTCAGTTTTTTTTGGTCGGTCATGGGGCTTGAACTCTGGCCTGGGTGCTGTCCCTCAGTTCTTCAGCTCAAGGCTTGCACTCTACTACTTGAGCCACAGCACATTTCCCCACCTTCAGTTTTGTCACCTTCATGTCCTTTCTCTACAAAGCCATGAGACAGACATAAAATTGAGTCTGATCAGATTCAGCTTCATCTGAAAAAAATCCTTTAATACTTTAATAAAGAAATACTTTAATGTTAATTATATGAGATATAATGAAATATAGAGTCTCTAGAGGGAAGGAGGAAATATAGATAATTTGGAAAAGCTTTTCAGAATCACTGTTAACTTGATGTACTAGGTGGTATTGTTTTACACATGTATCAAAGAGAGTTGAAGAGCCATAGTCTCACACAATAATGGTCGTGTCTACCTCTATACACAGACTTCTATTAGGTATCCTATGGCAACTTTGACATTCTTTTTATCATGCCACTTTGGGTATAATTAAGCAGCAGCAAATCATTATGCTATTTTTTATTTTCCTGAGTTGTTATTCTTCATTCCCTATTTTCTCTCTTTAATTGAATTTTATTGTTTAAGTTATCTTTTTTCTGAATTGTCTCTTAATGCTTAAATATTATTTTGAACATCCTTTCTAAATGGCACTCACTGCCTTAGACATTTTACCAAGGGAGTAGGAAGAATTAAATTGTATAGATAGGGTGAAACTTCAGTAACATTCAGAAAGAAAGTTTTCAAAAAGGTCAAACTTTTGATGCCTCATTTTATGAAATACTAGGTGGTATATGTTTGTGTATGTTATTATATTACAAATCTTAACTAAGTATATAAATAAGAAATCACTTCTGTCTTTAACTTTTATTTGTTTTGGCATTTTAGGAAGCTCTGTTTATAAATTTGATTAAAGAAAGTGACCCAGAGGTAAGTTTTACATTTAAATACTGTTGCTAACTTGTTTAATTGGAATACTGATTAATTGTTCACCTTTTAGGAATTAAAAACAGTAATTTTAACATTGAGGTGGTAGAGATATGAGATGGATCTTCTTGGTTAAAAAAAAATAGAAATAAAGGGTTTTTTTGGTAGTCCCTGATGTAAAAAAAAGAAATTCCCATATGCTGGGCTGAACCATCAGTAGCCAAGTAGGTCATTATCCATCTGGGGGATGGTTTGGGTAAACGTGAACTCTGGGACTGGGCTCTGTCCCTTAGTTCTTCAGCTTCTAGCACTCTACCACTTGAGCCACAGCTCCACTTGTGGTTTTCTGAGTGTTTTATTGGAAATAAGAGTCTAATGCCTGGGCTGGCTTTGAACCATGATCCTCAGATCTCAGCCTCCTGAGTACCTAGGATTACAGGTATGAGCCACCAATGCCCGGCTTAGTGATATATATATTGATTATTCATATTTAAAATTGAGATTTCACTGTTGGACTGGAATGTAGCTCAGTGATAGAGTGTTTATCGAGTAAGAACCCTGAGTTTGATCCTCAGCAATAGAGAGGGATGAAAAAGAAAAAGAAAAAAGCTATTTCCATCCACAGTATCATTTTCTCACTCTTAAAAGAAGACATGATCTGGCTTCATCAATATTAAATTGCTATTAATCTGTATTTTACAGTTAAATGCTACAACTTTTTTCTGTGCTCTCAAAAAAAAATACAGGTAGATGTTGATAAAATATGGAGCCGGTTTGTACATCTTGATAATTTGCCAGAAGATGGACTTCATTGTGTACTTTGTGTTGGGCTCCAGTTTGGAAAAGTGAACCACCATGTATTCATGAATAATAAAAACAAGGTAACAAGTTCTTTTCTTGAAATCCTTGATGTTATGTCGAGAATATAGTACTGAATTCTGAATTGTGGTCTGTGTTATTTAACTTGTGAATTGAAGCACCAATAAACATGATTCAACCACTTAACAGAGTTATGATAAACCAAAATATTTTCTCCTGAATTCTCATAAGAAAGAAGAGATATCTCTATTTAGAATAAGTAAGATTCACACATGAGAAAACGTAGTGCCAAGAGCATTATGTTTCTGGGAAATTTAGACATAAGTGCATTTGTCTGTGACTTAACTAATTTTGTGATCTTATTAGCAGAGTTGTTTTGAAGTTCCTTCTATATATAAAACACACAGTTCTATTTGTATGATAAGTATAAACAAAATATTTCATGGTTTAGCCTCTGTCTTCAAAATTAAAAACTAAGCATGGTTTAATATATATTTCAGCTATATGATCATTAAAATTATATTTTTGTTTTTGTTTATTGGAGAGAGTGTCACTGTAGCTTTGGCCGGCCTCAAAATTTATCCTTCTGTCTCTACCTACTGAGTAGTATATTAAAATCATGTACCATTAGACCCAACTTAAAATTAGAATTTGATTAACCATGTATTACTTACAAAGTAAGGATTTCATATCAAAGTTAATTTATGTTAGGACTGGGAAGGTGGCTCAGTGGTAGAACGCTTGCCTTGCATGCATGAGTCCCTGGGTTTGATTCCTCAGCTCCACATAAGAAAAAAAAAAGCCAGAAGTGGCACTGTGGCTCAAGTGGTAGAGTGCTAGCCTTGAGCTAAAGAGCTGAGGGACAGCACCCAGGCCCAGAGTTCAGGCCCCACGAACAGACCCAAAAAAAAAAAAAAAGCTGCTACCAAAGTTAATTTATGTTACAAAGGAATAGTATTTAATATACTTATGATACATCGATTGTATTTGTTACTATAGAAATGGGATCATCCAGTATGGAATGTAGGATATAGATGACATGTAGGAATTTTGAACCTTTCTTCAGTCTTTTTTTTTAAGCCTGTCTTTTTGTTTTGCCTTGCCTGTACAATGAATGCTCTTAGGATTTAAATTCTTGTTCTCTTTCAAATAAGGATTAATTATACCTTTGTAATCCTATGTGTCTGAAATCTGAAAGAAAAAATATTCAATTTTTTTAACTTAAGCAACAAATTTTTATTGTGAAATACACAAATTTTACAATTCATAAAACTGAAATTTACCGTTTTAACTATGTTGTAATATAATTTAATGGTAATTAGTGCCATCATCCATTTCCAGAACTTTTCTATCTCCTCAAGCTTAGGCTTCTTGCCTATCCAAAATTAACCTCCCTACTAACTCTCTCCCAAACCATCAACTAATATTCTACTTCTGTTTCTGTGAAGGTGAATACTATAGATACTGAAAAATGTGGAATTAGATTTTCCATTTTAAGGCTAAAGAATATTGTATAGAATATACCTTATTTTTAAAATTGATTTATCTGTTGATAGACAGTTGGGTCACTTGTAGTTCTTGGCTATTGGAAATCATGCTTCTTTGAATATGAATGTACAAATAGATGTTTGAATCCCTTCAGTTTTTAAAGAATTGAAAATTCAAAATTGAAAGCTATATATTGCTGGCTCATATACCAATTCTTCTTTAAAGTTTTCAGTATCTAATCAGACTTTTATTCTCTCTAGGCCATTCTTCAGTTGGAAAGCCCTGAATCTGCTCAGTCAATGTATAGCTTTCTGAAACAAAATCCACAAAGCATAGGTGATCGTGTATTGACCTGTACATTGTCTCCAAAGGTTGACTCATCAGAAGTAAGATTTTCTTTTTTTTATTTATTTCTTTTTTTTTTTTTTTGGTCATAAGGCTTGAACATGGGGCCTGGGCACTGTCCCTGAGCTCTTTTGCTCAAGGTTAGTGCTATGCCACTTTGAGCCACAGCTCTACTTCTGGTTTTTGAGTGGTTAATTAAAGGTTTAAGACTCATGGGGACTTTTCTGCCCTGGGTGGCTTCAAACTGCCATCCTCAGATCTTAGCTTCTTAAATAGCTAGGATTACAGGTATGAGCCACTGAGGCCTGGCCAGGGTTTTCTTTTTAGGTCAGGTTTTGGTTTTTTGGAAAATAAAAAAAAAGTATAAATGTCTTTCTAAAACTGAAAAGACATATTCTGGATTTAATTTGGAGACTTATTTTCAGATAATATCAAGCTAATTGATTTTAGATTTTTTTTTTTTTTTAAAAGCATGTTGTGTGGGATTGGGAAGGTGGCTCAGTGGTAGAGTGCTTGCCTTGTATGCATGAGGCCCTGGGTTTGATTCCTCAGCACCACATAAGCAGAAAAAGCTGGAAGTGGTGCTGTGGCTCAAGTAGTAGAGTGCTAGCCTTGAGCTGAAGAGCTGAGGGACAGTGCCCAGGCCCAGAGTTCAGGCCCCACGACCAACACTGCCCTCCCCCCTCCAAAAAAAAGCATTTGTGTAATCACTGTTGCAATTTTCATCATTTACAGAGCAATATAAATTTTTCTAGAATAAATTGAGATAACTGAAAAATGTGACATTGCCATTGTATTACTTATTGACTGTTTCTGTGATATCAAGGTTGCTTTGAGTCTATTGTTGCTACTTCCTGGGGAAAAAAAGTTGGTTTGTAGTTTAATTATAATCATTTTTTTTACAGTTCTTAGTTTACATAATAGTATATGGCAGTAATTTAGGAAAGTTCTGAATAATCTACCTTAGAATTAAATTTCGATTCATGTATTTTTTTTTCTTTTTTTGCTTGAATTCTGGGTTTGAGTGCTGTCCCTCAGCTCTTCAGCTCAAGGCTAGCGCTCTACCACTTGAGCCACAGCACCACTTCTGGTTTTCTGGTGGTTTATTGGAAATAAGAGTCTCATGGACTTTCCTGCCCAGGCTGGCTTTGAACTGTGATCCTCAGATCTCAGCCTTCTGAGTAGCTAGGATTACAGGTGTTAGCCACCAGTGCCTGGCTCATGTGTTGTTCTTATTGTTCTATTTTATACCAATAGCAGGCAGTAAATAATAGGGCCTTGTATTTAGTTTAATTTTCATAAAATCTTGGTTGGTGAACAAACATTCAACCCTCTAAAAGATAAAATACTTGTAAGTAAGTACATACCGCATATAAAATGTCAAATGGTTAAAACTTCTTTGAAAACAAATCAAGTTCAGGAAAGAACAAGTATGATGGGTGAGGTGTGTGTGTGTATGTGTGTATTTTTAGAGTGGTTAACTATAGCCCCTCTGCAGAAGAGTTATTTGATGGACTTGAAGGTAATAAGAAATCAAGTTCTACAGATACATCACTGAAAAGAGGATTTTAGTAGAAAAGGAAAAGGACTTAGGGATCTATGTGATAATTAAAAAATTTCTAAGGATAATCAGTATGTATGGTCATGTGAACAATATTTTATCTTGGCTTAGGACATATTAGAGTGCTCAGTGGTATTTTTTAATATTTATATTATATCTAGTTGTACAAAGGGGTTACCATTCAGCAAGCCTATCTCCCAGCTCAACCTATCTCCTCAGTTTTCCTAATTAATTTTTTTTGTTATTATTTTGTGGTTTTTTGTTTGTTTGTTTTTCCAATCCTGGGGCTTGAACTCAGGGCCTGGGCACTGTCCCTGAGCTTCTTTTGCCCAAGATAGTACTCTACCACTTGAGCCACAGTGCCACTTCCGATTCTTTCTGCTTGTGTGGTACAGAGGACTTGAACTCAAGGCTTCATGCATGCTAGGCAAGCCCTGTCCCACTAAGCCACCGTCCCAGCCCAGTTTTCCTACTTTTGTAGGACATACTTTGAATTTTATGACTGCATTCTCCCTCCTTCTTCTCTTCATGTAAAGGTCCTTGGTTTCTTTCTTCCTTTTTTAAATTAGATCAATTTTTAAATTTTAAAATTTAAAAAGGTGAGGTACAGAGGGGTTACAGTTAACATCAGTCAACATAGTGTCTGGTACCATTGCTGCATTTGTTCACCTCTTGTCCCATCGTTTCTGTGCCCCCTTTACCTTCCCAAAGACAGATTAAAAATGAACAAAAAAGACAAAAGGGAAAGAAAACAAAAAACAACAAAGAAAAATTCCTCTTGTTTCCATTTTCTGGAATTCCTTTTGATAAATGCTATTTTATATAACCAGATGCTTATAGCTATTGCACCTTTGTGATCATCTCCTAAGAATATCCTCCTTTGGACTGTGTGAATGCCTGGAGGCCTATATAAGTTATTGTGTCCTAATATATTCATTTAAAATACCATCCAGTGTGTTTACTTGTAGATTTATAGACACATTCTAGTTACCACAAATAAGGGAAACCCACCTATGTTTCTTTGGATCTGGCTTCTTTGGATCTGGCTTACTTCACTTAACACAATTTTTTCCAAGTTTTTCCATTTCCTTATGAATGGTACAATATCATTCTTTCTGATGGATGAATAATATTCCATTGTGTCTATATACCACAATTTCTTGATCCATTTGTTCACAGAGGGGCAACTGGTTTGTTTCCATATCTTGGCTATGTAAACAGTGCTACAATAAACATGTTTGTGCTGGTAGCTTTATTGTGGTGGTGTTTGTGTTTTATTGGATAAATGCCCAGGAGTGGAAATGCAGGGTCATAGGGAAGCTTGATCTAAGGAACATTGTCTTATTATTTATTTTTTCAATTTATAATGTCCTATAGTTTTGTAGAAATTCACTCCTATACTGATTTTGTATGTGCTATATTTCATTAAAATTTTCTGAGAATACTCTAGCATCGAATTAGGTTGTCTGAACTATCTTCAGCCAATCTTGTACGCTTATGGATTTTTATATGCTTTTTCATTCCTGTGCATGGTTCTTGGTTTTGTTTTTCCTTAGTAACTTGGGAAGCAAATTAGCCAATATAGGTATATATTATAGATCTTCTATCAGACACCTGTTCTCTTAACAGATCTCTCATTTAGTGAAAGCCCATTACTGTTTACACATACTGTCGTCAATGGGACACTTAACTTCTTTAACTTCTAGTATACCATTAAGATTGAGACTAGATTTCCCATCAGATACTCTAGTAAAGGAAGCCTTTACTCTGTGGTGTTTTTTTTTGTTTGTTTGTTGTTTTGTGTGTCTGTGTGTGTCTGTGTCTGTAGGGCTTGAACTCTGGACCTGGGTGCTATCCCTCAGCTCTTTAGCTCAAGACAAGCTCAAGAGCTACTTCTGGTTTTCTGGTGGTTAGTTGGCTATAAGAGTCTCATGGACTTTCCTTTCTGGGCTGGCTCTAAACCATGATCCTCAAATCTCAGACTCTGGAGTAGCTAGCATTACAGAGTGAGCTGTGGACACCCAGCAGAACTAGAATCCTTTCTAGGAGCATTATTCTGCTTTTAATTTGAATCTTTCTGGAAACAAAGTTTTAATCCAGAGGACACATGATTCCACAAAAAAAGACCTCTTTAGTGTTTGCTATTTAATATTTATTTTACTTAATTTACTTTATTGTTATTATAAGAGTGATATACAGATGGATTACAATTATATGAGTTAGGTAATGAGTACTTTTCCTTTCCTACTGTGTCTTCTGTTCCCTCATTCTCTCCCTGTCTCCACCCACGAGTTGTATACTTCACTTTCATCAGTGTCCAGTGAGCTCCATTACTGTACTTTTCACCCCTTTTCCCTCAAGTTCTGTGCCCTCCCCACCCACCTTCCCAAAGATATGCACATGAATATGCCATACATAAGGTAGGGAAGACAGAATCATCAAAAATTTAAATTTAAGGGCTGGGAAGGTGGCTGAGTGGTAGAGCACTTGCCTTGCATGCAAGAGGCCCTGGGTTCGATTCCTCAGCTACATAAGCAAAAGAAAAAAGCCGGAAGTGGTGCTGTGGCTCAAGTGGTAGAGTGTTAGCCTTGAGCTGAAGAGCTGAGGGACAGTGCCCAGGCCTAGAGTTCAGGCCCCAGAACCGGACCCCTCCCCCTCCCCCTCCCTGCAAAAAAAAAAAGCCTTTTGTTATATCTTAGAGTTTGTTTCAGTATGTAAATTATTTTATATACATATCAAGAGGCACTTAGGCAGTGCACCTTTGTGTTTCTCTCTTGAGTATCCTCTTGGTCTCACTGTGTGTGTGTAAGTAGAATTCCTGTACAATTTGTCATATCCCAGTGCATTTTAGATGTAACTTCTGCATATCAGAGAAAACATGGACCATTTGTCTCTCTGAGCTTAGCTTACTTCACCTAACGTGATTTGTTCTTGTTCCATCCATTTCCTTGCAAATGAGATTATTCTTTCTAACAGCTATGTAAAATTCCACTGTGTATAAGGTACCACATTTTTTGGATCCACTCATCTATTGAGGGACATCTGGGCTGTTTCCATATCTCGGTTGTGCAACAACAAACATGGATGTGCAGGTGTCCTTATATCCTGGCTCATGATGTTTGGGGTAGATCCCCAGGAGTGGTATGACTGGGTTATAGGAAGGAAGGTAGATGGTTAGTTTTTTGAGGAACCTCCAGACTGCCGTCCAGAGTGGTTATACTAGTTTATATTCCCACCAACAGTGCAGTAGGGTTCCTTTTTTCCCACATCCCCTGCCAATGTTAATGTTGTTTAAATTCACACTTTTGGCCCATCTTACTGGAATGAGATGGAATCTGAGTTGTTTTGATTCACATTTTCTTATGCCTAAGCATTTCCTCATGTGTTTCTTTGCCTTTCTTACCTCTTCTAAGAAGTCTCTCCTTAGCTCCCTTGCTCATTTAATGATTGGTTTATTAGGTTTGGGAGGGATTAGTTTCTTGAGCTCCTTGTATATATTGGGTATTAGTTCTTTGTCTGATATATTGCTAGCAAAGATCTTTTTCCAGTGTCTTGGCTATCTTTCCAGTTTAGTAACTATATTCTTAGCTGTGCAGAAACTTCTTATTTTGATGTAGTCCCACTCTCAGGTCTCTCTCCTAACCTGGGACTCTATTCAAGAAGTTTCTGCCTGTGCCTACAGTTCTAATATTTCTCCTATGCTCTCTAGCAGTAGTTTCAAAGTTTTGGGACTGACATTGAGGTCTTTGATCCACATTGAATTGCTATTAGTGCATGATGACAAACAGAGATCCACTTTTAGTTTTCTGCATAAATATTTAATATTTCAAAGGGATTACTGTTCTAGATTACTTTTCTAATAGTAATATATGTTTGAGTTAAAGGGTTTTTTGTTGTTTGAAATGAAGTCTTGAGAATTGCCCAGGTGGTCACAAACTTATGTGCTCAGGGGATCTGCTTACCTAAATTTCCCAGGTAGCTAGGACTCTTTAGACTTAAAACCATACCCTGCTGAATAAGACATTTAAAAAAATCTTATCTTATAAATAGAAATCTTTTAAACATAATTCCACAAAGAACATATTGGTATTTCTTTTCAGGTTTGTTAGTTTTTATAAGCAAATGATGCTATTTCCAGACTTTTGAAGTATAAAACATTTCTTACTTATATCAATATAAGTAAACTCTTAATTGTTTTATCATTATTTATATAACACACTGTTAGCAGTCTGTAATGAGGAAAATTTTCTAGAACCTGGTAATTACATGGACATTGAAAACTAGCTTCTTTCATATTTTTTAAAGATGGTGGTCTTTTTTTCTTTTGCTTCTTTTTTTAAATTATATTTTCATTGAAAACCATAGAATTGAGGGGTTAAATATTGAAAATAGAGAAAAATAACCTCTAATAAAAATGTTAATTGTATTGCAGGCTCATTTTGAGAAAGACCCAGAACTAGGAAAAGAACGGTATGTTTTCTTAAGTTTGCTAACAATATTCAGTAGTTACTGAATTTTATTTCCACATTTTACAGTAATTGTTTTCATTGTAACAAAATATTCTTAACTTGTATTCATTTTGTCTACTATGAGTTTATTGTCTTTTTGGAGGGGTGTGGACAAGAAGGGTTCTTGTTTTCCTAGAGATTTTATTTGCTACTGTTTGCTTTTTTTATATATACTATTTAAGTATTTATGATCATTCAGTAAAAGTACATGAATAAACAGTTTGAATGAAAGGTGAATTTATTAGGTATAAAATCTTTTGCAAAGCCCCTTAAATAATTGAAATTCATAATCAATAGTATAAATTTTTGTTAGATTTTCCTATTCCAAAGGTTTAAAAGCAAAAGTAAATTTAAAATTTTTATTAAGCTAAAGCACAAATAGTTTTCAGTGTATATTTTGTTATAGGTTTAGAACAGCTGTGTGAAGAAAGAATATTTGTCCAAAAGTAATTTTTATATACTACTTTGTATTAGAGGATGAAACTGTCAGGCTGCTCAAACTTTTCACAAACTTGTTTGCCCTGCCCATACAGTACATCTTCTATTTAACACTTACTCATTCTGATAGTTACTACTTGTCTTCACCAATAACCACCTTTTACTGCTTTTCATTATGAATCATTGGTTTAGAATATTGCTTTCACTAATTGATCTCTGCTGCTTGTTAGTCTACATTGTAATATCATGTAAGTTTGAAATACCAGTTTGAATATGCTTAGAGATAAAAAGTATTTATTTGACGCACCAGCTTCAAGATGCCAGTAAACCAGAATGCCTTACAGGTTTTTCTTCTTCATAATGGATTTTTTTTTTTTTTCACAAAATCAGAGTATTCTAGATGACAAAGATGATTATGAGTACATTAAAATATTTGTTACTTGTAAGCAGTAGATGTGTTGTGTTAGCACTTTTTTTTTTTTGCCGGTTGTGGGGCTTAAACTGTGGGCCTGAGCACTGTCCCTGAGCTCTTCAGCTCAAGGCTAGTGCTCTATCACTTGAACCACAGTGCCATTTCTGGCTTTTTCTGCTTATGTGGTGCTGAGGATTCAAACCCAGCGCCTCATGCATGCAAGGCGAGCACTCTACCACTGAGCCACCTTCTTAGCCCCTTAGCACATTTTTTAAAATTGTACATTATCAAACTAATGATATATACATAGGAAATAATACCACTAACTGTTTTCTATGAAAATCCACAGGATGCTTAGAGCAATGCTACTTTAGAGACCTACAGTTTGGCAATAGTATCTGGCCAGAAAGTACATAGGTTCTCCCATTTTCTGTATTTTATTTGGCAGAGTCTTTTTTTAAAGTCTGTAAGAAAAGTTTGTAGCAATAGCACTTGGTCATAATTTCCTTTCATTGTTTAAATTTATTTTTCTTGTAAAAATCAGATTTATTCAACAAATTTGGGTAATTTAAAAATTCTAGAATTGATGACGTTTAAGTTCTCATTTTGCTACCAGTCTTTTCTGATCTCTATAACTTCACAAAAAGTGACATTTCTTTTGGAGTAAAATGATACCAAGAAAATACCAATATTTATTCGTTATGAGTATGACCCTTCATTTATAATTAATGTAAACTATGTGCAGAGATTTCTATTTAGAGAAAATCTTGCATTCATAATTTAACAATAACCTACATTGTATCTCTCCTTCCCCCCCTTATAATTAAAAAGTACTGTTTCTATGAGATCTCAGCCTCCTGAGTAGCAAGGAGTACAGTACCAACAGGGCTTGAGCACTGTCCCTGAGCTCTTTTGCTCAAGACTTGTGCTTTAGCACTTTGAGCCACAATTCCACTGAATAATAACATTTTAATTTACAAACTTTCAATATAGTACCAGGAAGACTCTTGATATATCCTTGAGCCAGATCAAAAAGATTTCCATAATTTTTCCCCCAACATCATAGATGTTCTTTTAGGGTTAATATACAATTTGATAAGAAGGTAGGAATATGCTTTTCTATTGGAAATGAGTCTTGGAATTTAAAAATAAAAGCTGTAATTTGAAAAATAGCCATTTAACTACTGAAAATGTTACTGCACAATTGTTTCTTGGTCATAGTTCTTCTTGGCCACAAATTTTATTGTAGTTTCAAGAATTTGGAACACTTACAAAACCTTCGGGAGCCCTGTGCCACTTGTAATCCTAGCTACTCATGAGATTGGAGATTGCAATTTGAGGTCACAACAGGCATAAAAATTAGAGAAATCTCTTCTCAATACATAGTTGACTGCAATGACACATACCTGTCATCCACAGGGTACATGGAAAGTTGAGATTAGAAGGATCACAATATAATTTTAATTAAAAAGTACCAGGTATCCTGGGCAGAAATATTTATGAGACTGCCATTTTTGTGGAGGAAGCTGGAAGCAGTATCCAGCACACATCTGTTTTCCCAGCAATACTGGAAAGCCCAAAAAGTAGCTAGATTAAGATTGAACACTGAACCCTGAGTGGAAATGAGACCTATCCTTAAAATAACCAGTGAAACATAAGGATAAAACATGGTTCTAGAGTATCTCACCAATTTAGCATGTAAGCCTGAGGTTCTGAGTTCAAATCACAGTACTTTACAGGCAAAAATCAGCTTTTGGTATTTTCCATATAAAAGATGTAAATTATTTCAAATTAAAGCATTTTCAGCATACAAAGTATAGCTCACATAGTAAGTAGAATGCATATTATTACTTAGATTCTCTTACTATTCAGCTTAAACTCCATGAACTTACTGCCATCACAATTTTTATATAGTAGGTGTTTCTCCAATGTGGTAGAGAAATAGAAGCCTTCACTTCATTAGCCTTGGGGGAGAACCAGTTTATTGGCTCAAATAACTAGACTGATATAGTACCACATTTACCAAAGTTTCTGAAATATAATTAACATCTCTGTACAGAGGTATATATCATCTTGTAGTGTTAACCAAAAGATACATAGACATCCTTTGGGAAGCATGTTAAAGAGATAGCCCATTCTCTCTTTCCTTGAAACAGTGAGGGAAATGTCAATATTTTTTACTTTGAGATATTGATACGGTACAGTCACTTCAGTTATCTTCCTCCAACCTGCTTCTAACTTTGTGTGAATGTACTTATTAAACTTACATTGATAATCTACTGAACATTGTCTTCAGAAGCTATTATTTTCTATGATAACCCCTTATCCGTGGAACATTAATATCAAAGCAATTGTGTTTGTAGTAAGGTAATTCTATTAGTTTCACTTCTAACTTTAAAATCTCCAGGGCTAGGAAGTGGCGCTGTAGCTCAAGTGGTAGAGCACTCGCTTTGAGCTGAAGAGCTGAGGGAGGCCCAGAGTTTAGCCCCATGACCGACAAAAAAAAAAAAAAATCTCTAGGGCTGGGAAGGTGGCTCAGTGGTAGAGTGCTTGCCTTGCATGCATGGGGCCCTGGGTTCCATTCCTCAGCACTACATAAGCAAAAAGAAAAAAGCTGGAAGTGGCGCTGTGGCTCAAGTGATAGAGCGCTAGCCTTGAGCTGAAGAGCTGAAGGACAGTGCCCAGGCCCAGAGTTCAGGCCCCATAGCTGGACCCCCAAAAAAAATCTCCAGTAGTCATTTTGATAGTTTTAAAGAAAACTGTCGATTAAAGCATCATTAATAAATACAGTTCTTAAGAAACTAAAAATAAATCTGTCTTCTATCATAAAAAGGAAAGTGATGTGGTTGAATGTGGCATTTTCTCCTTACTAGTTTCTTTTTATATTCTTTTTATATAAAGTTCACATACAATATTTTAAATTTCAATGCATGGTTTTATTGTAGAATAGTAAATATTTGAAATTTTTCAATAGCTATTGTTTGGATGAATTGAGAAATCTTCAGTGAAATGGAAGGTCTTTTAAATTTTTACATTGTTGACATATTTACATCAGAATATCTTAAGCAATTTAGTGCTGATTGGGAAATCTATTTCCCAGTGCTTATTACTTATACATTAGGAGGTCTTTACCATTAGCATTAGTAGAGTTATTTATAAAGATTGAATTCTCATTATGGTTTGTTTGTTTTTAAATACTTTTAGCCTTGACTTGAAAAATAGTCCGGTTGGCCAGAGTGATGTGCAAACAGTATCTGCTAGTCCCTCTGTTAAACTTAATGAGGTTGAAGAAGAAACTTCTTCCAGTATTCAAACGGAAACTTTGGGACAACAGGAAGAAGTGGTTAAGGAAGAACCTGAAAAGGCACTGTGTGACTTTGACTTTGCTCTTGAAAAATTGGAAATTGAAACTCAAGGAGAGCTCAACATAGAAATTCCTCTTGTAGCATCCACTCCAGCCAGTATTGAATTATTCACTGAAAATATAGAAGAGTCTGCTTTAAATCAGCAAGTATGTAACAATGACTTTGAGAAGCAAGAAGCAGACATTACAAATCCTGAAACAGAATTGTCAGTATCTGAAAACAAATCTATAGAAGATAAAAACATCCAGAGAATTCTTGAGGAATCTTCATCTGCAGCAGAAGGGGGGTTTTTTGGAATTACACAGGCTGTGGTAGAAGATACAGCTGAAGTGAACAAACCTGAAATGGTTTCAGACGTAGTAAAATCTACAATTTCAATGCCAGGAATTTGTACTGAGGAAGAGAAGGTAGTGAGTAAAAAGGGTACTTCTGAAAAAAGTAACGTGGATGAAAAGGAGGCGAATGAATTTAAAGACAAGGAAACCAGAGTGGATATGCAGATAGGCTCAGAGAAAGCTGGAAAGAATGAAGCTAGGATGGTTGCAGAAAAATTGGAAAAAATTATGGCAGCAACGAAAGAAAAGCCTGAAGAAAATGCTCTGATCAAAGCATGCCCAAATAAAGGAGTGGGTCAGACCAATAAGCCTGATGAAACTGGTAAAACTAGTATGCTGACTGTATCAAATGTATCTAGCACTAAATCAACCATCAAGGCTGCAACTATGATCTGCTCTAGGGCAAAAACTACAACAACTGAAAATCAGAAAAGTTTAATAAAATCTGTGTTCAGAGGTCAAATAAATGCTGAAAAGAAACTTTCACCAAAGGAATTTGGTCTATTTAAAAGTGCCAGATCATGCTTGGTAGAAAACAGCAGTAAATTTAAACCTACTCAGAGTGATGTTACCATAGGAGGTGGTGGAAGGATCTCAGCACTGCAAAGCAAGGATTCTAAACTGGATTTCAAGGACATAATAATGCAGTTTCAGGAAACAGAGGGTAGACCTTCTGTCATGAAAGGAGATGACAGCAATAATAAGGTGAGGAGAAAAGAGGATGCCTTTAAAGTGGTTCTGTCATGCTTAGCTCTGTTGCCATAGCTGTGGAATAGGTATATACCAACTTCCATATCTCCTTCTTAAACTTTCATAACTGTTTCTTAAACAGTCTATTGACTTAAACCATTAGACATTGGGAGTATCATGCTCAGAGTTTATATTAATTAGTTTTGGAAGTGGCGTTGTGGCTCAAGAGGTAGAGCGTGCTCTTCTTGAGCTGAAGAGCACAGGGACAGCGCCCAAGCCCAGAGTTCAAGCCCCACGACCGACCAAAAAAAAATAAAAAATAGGCAAATTAATTGATTTGGAAACACTACTTGATCGGAAATGTAACTGTAGATCAAAGGTAAAATTTGGTTGGAAATAAAATTGTGGTTAAAACCTTTAGCACTTTTAAGTTGAACCTTCCTTTATTAATTATTAGTTAGTTCACTGATGTCCCAAGTAAAGCATTGTGGGTATAGGGAAAGAAAGATCTGTAAACTGTAACTTAACTGCAACTTTTAGATTACTTGTACTCTTAAATGATTATTGGCTTCATTTTGTATATTTGTACAATAATAGTTTTATATATGCTCTGTCAATATTCTCTTTCTCTGAATATTGATAGCATGATTGTAAATTCTGTTTTTCTGTATTTCTTACTTAATATTTTAGGCCTTCGCTGGGCAAAACACTAAGAATTCTAAAAGCACTACTGGTAGAAGTTCCAAATTTAAAGAGGTAAAAAATAATCAACCCATCATTTCCATCCTCTCATAGCAGAGCTCATTTCTCTTGTATACCCATGTGTCACATCATAGTTAATGCATATGTTTAGAGAGTGAATGATACAAAGGGATAGAAATGGAGTGTTTCATATTGACACTAGCACTAATTGCACCACTGATTCATTTATTTTATCTTTAAGTAGGCTTAAACTTTATTATAATATTTACTAGTAATTGAGTATTGATAGCATACTAACTAGGAACCTTGCACAGATTTTATTTTCTTTAATGTAGGTACCTTTTTTCATATTATGGATAGTTGTTTTTAAACAGTTATATTAGCTTATAATAAGACTTAGTAATAATTTCTTCAGATAACTTTCTCAAATTTTAAGCTATATCTTATTGTATAAGTTAAAATATGTATTATCAATCAATGATTAATTATACAATCTAGGTAGCAATTTACTTTCTAGAAGTCCAGTGAAACTCTGGAATATTTGTTAGATATTTAACATGAAACAGTAAATTTATATTGTTTTGACCAGGGCTTGCTTTATATTTTTGTACCAATACAGTTCAAAATATTTGGGAAATGATTATAATCTTGTTAATATAGAAATAGAATTTGATTGTGAATACCTGTGGTATTTACATTGAAGCATAACTAATTTGTAGAACTTTCAAACATAATTTTAGTCCTTAGGAAACTACTTTGCAGTGTAGTTCACAGAAAAATGATCCACATGCACATTTATTTTGACTATTTAGAACCTATCCAATGGTCGGTAGTTGTTCACAACACTGTTGATTTTTAATTCCAACAGGAAATACTATTTTCATTTAATTTGGACGAATATGTTACTGTAGATGAAGTTATAGAAGAAGCGAATCCTTCTCAAGCCAAGCAAAATCCTTTAAAAGGACAAAGGAAAGAAACTCTCAAAACTACTCCTTCCTCTGAACTTAACTTAAAAAAGAAAAAAGGAAAACCTTCTATTTCTCCCAATGTTGAGGGAGGCTTATCTTTTGTAACATTGGATGAGATTGGGGAAGAGGAAGATGCAGCTGCACAAGCACTAGTCACTGTAGATGAAGTAACTGATGAAGAACTAAACATGGAAGAAATGGTAAAACATTCAAATTCACTTCTTACATTAGATGAATTAGTTGATCAAGATGATTGTGTTTCCCACAATGAATCTAAAGATGTTACTGTTCTGTCAGTGGCTGAAGAGCGAGATCTTCTTAAACAGGAACACTTGGTAACTGTGGATGAAATTGGAGAAGTAGAAGAGCTACCTTTAAATGAATCAGCAGACATAACTTTTGGTACTTCAAATACTAAAGGAGATGAAAGAAGTGCTGTAAGGGATTCCATTGGGTTCATTTCTTCTCAGATGCCTGAAGATCCTTGTGCTTTAGTTACTGTAGATGAAATACAGGATGATGGCAGTGATTTGCATTTAGTGACTTTGGATGAAGTAACTGAAGAGGATGAAGACTCATTAGCCGATTTTAACAACCTTAAAGAAGAGCTCAATTTTGTTACTGTAGATGAAATTGGAGAAGAAGAAGAAGGAGACCATGATTCAAAAGTTGAGTTAGCACAGAGCAAAAATGACTGTTCTACAGATAAAAAAGGAGAAAGAAAGAAGAGAGTTGCCAGCACAAAGAAGACAAAACTTGAAGCCTTGTCCCAAATGGGTCCAGTAAATGAGAATGTGATAGAAGAAGATCCGAAAACTATGAATGAAAGACACTTAGCAGGTAGAAAATTGAAAATGGTAGTTTTCCTATTTTATGAGAGTATTACATTTAAAGTTAATTTGAAAATATATATTGAAGCATTAGCAGTAATTTCACTCGTCAAAATTTCTTAAACTTTCTAGGTGCCTGGCTTACACCTGTAATTCTAGTTACTCAGAGGCTGAGCTCTGAGAATCATGGTGTGAGACCCAAAAGCCAGAAAAGGAGCTGTGGCTCAAGTGATAGAGCACTAGCCTTTAGCAAAAAAGGTCAGGGACAGCACCAGGTCCTGAGTTCAAGCCCCAGGATGCTTGCTCTCTCTCTCTCTCTCTCTCTCTCTCTCTCTCTCTCTCTCTCTCTCTCTCTCTCTCTCCCCCCCTCCCCCTCCTTCTCCCTCTCCCTCTCCCTCCTTCTCCCTCTCCCTCTCCCTCTCCCTCCCTCTCCCTCTCTCTCTCTCTCTCCCTCTCACACACACACACACACACACACAAAATTCTTAAGCCAATAAATGGACAGGTATAGCCAGTGTTTTGCACCAAAATGTGTGTAATAGTTTCACAAGTTTCTCTTAGTTACCAGGTAAAAGTTGTTCCAAGTTATTCCTCAAGAAAAGATGACAAAGCCAAGAAGACTAACAGAATTAGAATTGAAATAAAAATGATATATTTGCCGAGTACTAGTGGCTCCTACCTATAATCCTAGCCACTTAGGAGGCTGAGATCAGAGGATTGTGGTTCAAAGCCATCCTGAGCAGGAAAGCTTTTCATACTCTTAGCTCCAATGAACTATTCAGAAAAGGCTGGAACTAGCTCTATGGCTCAAGTGGTAGAGCTCTAGCCTTGAATAGGGAGATTTAGGGACAGAGCCTCCTCGGCCCTGAGTTCTAGTCCCAGGACCAGCAAAAAAAAAAAAATTGTATATTTGTATTGTGGAGAAAACAGCTTTTTAGAGAGAGTATGGTCATACCCTGCTACATCCCAATTTTTGCTTAAACTTAGGAATTACAGTAGGTGCTATTTTTGGGGGATCCGGTCATGGGCCTGAACTCTGGGCCTGAGCACTGTCCCTCAGCTCTTCAGCTCAAGGCTAGCGCTCTACCACTTGAACCACAGTGCCACTTCCGGCTTTTTTCTTTTTTTTGCTTATGTGGTGCTGAGGAATCGAACCCAGGGCCTCAGACATGCAAGGCAAGCGCTCTACCACTGAGCCACCTTCCCAGCCCCAATAGGTGCTATTTTTATTTAAAGTAATATTTTCATAGAATAGAATAATAGAGTAAGCACTCTGAAAAATTTGAGCCAACTAAGAATGAAATATTAGTATAAATAAATTATTAACCTTCTGGGACAAATTTTAAAAAAGGACAAAATGATCAGTGTACAATAAATAAGAAAGATACATAGAAAGTTTTGACTTAATTGAATATTTTTAATAGAATTCTTTTTAGAAATAGGTTTACCTACCTGACAGTGATACACACCTATAATCCCAAGACTGGAAGGTAGAAACAGGAGGATTGTGAGTTCAAGGCCACCCTTGGCTACATGGGGGAGACTGTCTCTAAAACATACACACAGAATCTTCTTCCCAAATTTGGATATTGTTATTTAGTTAATTTAATATGCTTTATTTTAAATGCCAGATCAATAAATTAGACTTTCTCTTTAAAGCTAAAACAACAATGAAGAGAGTTAGAATTGGAAAGGCACAGCCCTCACAAAAAGTTGCTGTGGCAGAACCAGCAAAGGCTGAAGAGGTCATCCAGATTAGTGAAGGTAAAGAGGATTCTTGGGGTGGGAAGAGAATTAAATATTATGGAATGGTGGTAAAGGTTTCAAAGGTTACAATAGGAAAATTGAGCAAGTGTGAGAAAAAAGGCTTGTACTTATTAAATCCAGATAAAATTTTTATTTTCATAATTGAGATATTGGACGTGGGTGCTAAGACATAAAGATATTCTGGTCCTGTTGCTGTATCACATCTAAAATATTTATTAGCTAGCTTAATTATTTGTGACATTATGTCACAAATTTGTGTCATAGCATCCATCTGATATTATTGGTAGTAAAACGTTAAAAATAGGTAAAAGAAAAGTGCACAGTTTTTATTCTCAAGTTTATTGATTCTGAGAGGTGAGGGAAAAAAAATGAACTGCCCAGTGTGTTTTAAACAGCACTGCCCTGTAAGGGAGTAATTTTTCACCATTCTCTTAGTAACACCCATCTTGTCTAAGGAAAAGCAATCAACTATGATTGTTTGAATCAATTCTAAGAAGCTCTTTGAATCCAGCAGAGGTTAGGCTCTCAGTCTGAGGACTCCCTTTTTGGTTTCCTAACAAAGAATACTCCTTGATCTGCTGACTTGAATTTTACGTTTTCCAGTTCCTTGCACATATAACCCAGTTCTAGTTTTCTTACTAGGAAAACCTCTTAACCTTAGAATCCCCCTTAATGCCAAGAAATACATCTGGAACTGTGTATTTTTGCACCTTGGTTTCTCAAATTGACCTGGCTACAGTTTACTTTCCTGGACTTTAATATTTGTAATTTCATTGTGACTTTTATCTTAAGCTATCCCATTTAAGCTGTGTTTTTTGGGTTGGAAGATTGTCAGAACAGAATATCAGAATTACGTTTTGCTGTGTCCTTTTCCCCTAATCAACCTAGTGGCTTTCATATACATGTTAACTGCTGGTAACTATAGAAACTTGACTTGTTACCTTTAAATTCTTTCTGAAACTATATACATATATAAAATTTTGTTTAGCCCTATAATCCTAAGTCTTTTAGTCTTAAATTAATTTTTGAAGATAAGGATTATCCAATATAACTGTATAAAATTTGTAAATTAATTTTCAAATAATTTTTTTTCCCTGAAAAAAAATTTAATGACTAGTTAATAAAGAATCTGAATTAAAGGATTCAGAACCAGATCAAAAACGCAGGAAGATTGAAGATGACAAATCAGTGGCACCTGATGTCCCTGAAGGTAAAGTAAAAAAGATGTTTTTTCTTATCTTTGTGAAATAAAAAATTAGCACAATAGTACGTTGTTTATGTAAATAAATAATTGAGTAACCTTGCTTGCCATTTTACAGATAGCTTGTTTTTTTTTGCAATCTGGCAAAGTTATTTTTATTGTGTTCAAAATGTAGGATAAATCTCCTTTTTTTGTTTTTATTACTTTCATTGGTGTTCGGGTGAGAATTGAGTTAAACTTGCTTAATCAGAAACCCCTGAACATGCTAAAAGCTTAGATAACAAACTTTTTATGCCATTTAACATGAACAGAGGGGAACCTTATTCATTTATACATCATAGTCTGAATGTTCATAAGTCTAAAATAAGAATATTGTCAGACTTTTATCCAGTGATTTGCTAGTTTGAAGGATAATCAAGACAGTTCTTCATTATTTGAAGATTCTCCGTGGAAAATCTATTCAGCTTGCAGTATAGCAGTGCAGTGGCATTTTTTTCTTTTCTTGGAGACTTTGAAATATTATTAGAATTTTAAGTTGTTTTATGACATGTTAGTATTGTGATCCCAGCATGTGTTGTATTTACTTAACAAGTTTGTCCTGTTTTGAAAATTGGTTTATATAATCTTTGCTAAACTGTTGTTTTCCTTTCTCTTTTCTTTCTCGTCTTGTCTCCTAGACTTAGATTTTCTTGTACCTAAGGCTGGATTCTTTTGTCCAATTTGCTCCCTCTTCTACTCAGGTGAAAAAGCAATGACAAATCACTGTAAGAGTATACGTCATAAGCAAAATACAGAGGTAATTTTTAAAATGTTTTTTAATCAGAAAATTATTCAGGTGCTATTATTTTGTAGCTGAATTATTTATCAGCCAAAAGTGCCTATTTTTCCTTTTGTAAATCTAAGGTCTTATTTTGTCCTTTACTTGCTAATAATTTCTAGCCTTTACACCTTTCCTTTAACAGTAACTTATGCCAGAGTAGCTCATTATAGATCAGTAGTTTCATATTTCACTCCATTAGACTAATAATATGTGTTAAACTGCTTATCTTGCTGACCTGTTACGAAGTCATCTGTTTGTTAGCATATTAAAAAAACTCTGCTTATTTATTTCCCTAAACTGACTTAATCAGAAAATCTTTGTTTATAGGTTTAGAATGTTTTGCTCTAGAGAATTATGAGTGGTTGTGGTTGAAACAATGGTTCTAATTCTTGAATATCTAAGGATTGCTTTATTTATCCTCTGTATTGAATTTGAAGGATACAGACACTTAACCTTTATTGAACTATTATGCACTAAAAGCTTATTTATCCCCAAATCCACTTTAACAGTTATGTGTTACCATTCCAGTTTTAAAGTTGATGACACAGACTTAAGGTTAGGTTTCTAAACTCAAGATCACATGGTTCATTAGTATCTGAACCCAGTTTTAATTTGTACTAGGCCTAATCCCATCCACATTTTGCTATGCTTTCTGTGTCTTTAACCTGGTTGATCATGTCTTGTTTTTCCATGTACAGTCTTCCAGCAGCTTTATGTGGCATTTGGAATTATCTTTAAACTGATATGATTCAGTTTTGCTTCTCTAAACTTCATTTCTTTTTAACGTCAGCTTTTCCAGTTCTTTGTTCTAGAGTCTCCATCCTGCTTTTCCATCTCTATATGTGCCTTTGCCACCTCCTTCCCACAACCCTATTTGTACGACCAATTCTTCATCTTTTTCTTCTCAACTCAGATATTAACTTCTCAGAAGTGGCTGTAAAAAGAACCTAGCAGTCGGGATATAGCTCAATGACAAAGCACTTGCCTAGCAAATGCAATGTCCTGGGTTCAAAAAAAAAGAAATAAATGACACACAAAAAAATACAGTTAAAAAATGGCCAAGCATCAATGGCTCACACCTGTAATCCTAGCTACTCAGGAGGCTGAGATCTGAGGATCACCATTAAAAGCCAGCCCTGGCAGCAAAGTCTATGAGATTTTTTTTTTTTTTAGTCCGGTCATGGGGCCTAAAGTCTGGGTCTGGGCGCTGTCCCTCAACTCTTCAGCTCAAGGCTAGCGCTCTACCACTTGAGCCACAGCACCACTTCCGGCTTTTTTCTTTTTGCTTACTGTGGTGCTGAGGAATGGAACCCAGGGCCTCATGCATGCAAGGCAAGCGCTCTACCACTGAGCCACCTTCCCAGCCTGTCTATGAGATTCTTATCTCCAGCTAACCACCAGAAAACTGAAGGTAGTGCTGTGGCATTAGGCTGAAGAGCTGAGGGACAGTGCCAGGCCCAGAGTTCAAGCCCCACGACCAACCAAGAAGGAAAAAGAAGGGCCTAACTCTTATGTTACAACCTCAAAGAGGTCAACCCAACTTTAGAGCCTATATTTAAGTTGTATTTTTTGTGGTGCTACATGCTACAAAGTTTACTCAGGACCCCATACATAATAGGAAAGGACTCTATTTCTGAGCTATACTGTAGCTCAATTCTTTGGTGGTAGTGATTATAATTTTAGAAGTGTTTGCTACTGCCTATCCAAAATTACCTTGTTTATTTTTCTCTTTTCTCACTAAGTATAAGCTCCATGGTTATAAAATATCTATCTGGTTTCCTATTGAATCCTTAAGGTGGATTCAGTGATAAGTTGATAGAATATGACGTGATACACTAACCAAAATTTTTGATGTATCATAAAGTATCGGAAAGCTGATGAATGAAAGGAAGGAATGTTAATAAAAGGCACTGTATTTCTAATATTTTGTGTTTTGGGATCAGGCTCTTTTAAATTATAAATATAACGTATTGAGTTTGCATATATATAGTAAAACAACATCTAATAAGTTTTTCATGTTGCTTATTGCTTTTAACAGAAGTTCATGGCCAAGCAAAGAAAGGAAAAGGAACAGAATGAGGCTGAAGAAAGAAGTTCTAGGTGACTGAAGGAAAGAAAGAATTCATTAGTAATTCCTATAGGGTCCAGTTAATTTGTGTATTTTTGTTATCACTTACTTTGTAATCTTTGTTTCAGAACAAGTAGTCATGTTGTACAAATTTCTGATTGACCTTGATGTAGAAAGACTGATGGGTAAAAGTATGATGGGTTTGATTTTTATATCAAATCATCAGGTATGGAAAAATATCTTTGTAGAAGTGTTAAAATAAATGTTTCTACGGTATATTTAAAATACTTCGTTTTTGTGGTTGATATATTAATGACTTCATTGCCTCTGATTGCTACAACCCTTGGAATTTAGACAATTTGAGAATTCTTCATGTATTTATTACTCAAAGTCATGACATTTCAGTCATTCATTTCTAAAGATCAGAGGTTTCTTAAAATACTCAGTTTTTCTGGGTAAAATCAGATTATGTTTAGTTGGTCCAGGTAAGTTTTAATAAAACATTGCTTGACTTTCAAGTGTGTTTGGAAGATGGGATTTTGGGATTGTGATGGTTTTTGTTTTCTGCTTCTGTCAACCCTGTATTTTTACTAGGGTCTATTCAAAGTAGCATTTGCAAAGTACAGTATTTGCTTGAATTTATTTCCTGTTAACTATCAGAAAGGCTTTTTTCTTAACATGATCTGTAGTTCCATCCATTTTCCAGCAAATAACATAATTATTTCATATTTTTTGGTTGAACAATAATACTACATTGTATATGTATACTACATTTTATTTATTGACTAATGGGCATCTAGGCTAATTTCATATTTGGGCTATTTTGTTTTTGTTTTTGTTTTTTTTGGGTCCGGTCATGGGGCCTGAACCCTGGGCCTGGGCGCTATCCCTCAGCTCTTCAGCTCAAGGCTAGCACTCTACCACTTGAGCCACAGCGTCACTTCCGGCTTTTTTCTTCTTGCTTATGTGGTGCTAAGGAATCAAACCCAGGGCCTCAAGCATGCAAGGCAAGCACGCTACCACTGAGCCATCTTCCCAGCCCTATTTGGGTTATTTTGAATAGTGAGTGTGCAGGTACTTTGACTTTGTTTGTTGACTTACAATACTTTGGATGTAATCTCCACAAGTACTATAGCAGAACTGTTTAATACTTCTATTTTTAGCTGTTAATCTCCATGATGATTTCCATAGTGGCTAGACTAATTTTACATTCCCACCAGTGTATAAGGGTCTCTCTTTTTCCCTTCAACCAGAATTTTTTGTTTTCTCATTGTTTTTTTTTTTTTTTCTTTTTTTGGGGGGGTTGGTCGTGGGGCCTGAACTCTGGGCCTGGGCGCTGTCCCTCAGCTCTTCAGCTCAAGGCTAGTGCTCTACCACTTGAGCCACTTCTGGCTTTTTCTGTTTATACGGTGCTGAGGAATCGAACCCGGGGCCTCAGGCATGCAAGGCAAGCGCTCTACCACTGAGCCACCTTCCCAGCCCTTCTCATTGTTTTCTTGATGATAGCCATTCTGACTAGGGTGAAATGGAATCACGTGTTTTGATTTGCATTTCCTTTATGGCTAAGGAAGTTGAGCATTTACTGTAATTTTTTTTTTACCATTTGTATTTCTTCCTATGAAAACTGTTCAAATCATTGGATTATTCTCTCTTCTTAAAATTTTAACTCTTTATGTGTGTGGTGTGTACACCTGCTAATACTGAGGTTTGAACTCAGGGCATTGCCCTTTTGCTTAGCGTTTTTGCTCAAGGATGATACTATATCATTTGAACCACAGTGCCACTTGTAGCTTTTTTCTAGTTGCTGGTAAAAATGGAGATAAGAGTCTCTCAGATTAAGTTGCCCAGGCTGGCTTCAAACCAAGATCCTCAGATTTCAGCCTCTCCTAAGCTAGAATTGCAGGTATGAGCCACTGCTCTTTCTATATTGTGGATATTAATCCTTTCATCTAGTGAATATGTGTCTTACTTTGTCTTATTCTGTGGTAGTTTTTTTGGTTTTTGTAATTATTATCTTTGCTGTATAGAAGCTAATTTTAGTTTGGTGTAAATCTCATTTTTCAATTCTTATTTTCTGAGCAATTAGGAGTCTATACATAAAAGTATTACCTATGCCTGTATCTTCAGGTATTTTCTCTATATTTTTCTCTTACCAGTTTCAAGGTTTCAAATCTTACATTAAAACTTTTTATTGATTTTAGATTTTAGCCAAGAGGTAAGGTTCTAGTTTCAATTTTGTGTGTATATCTGGTTTTCCCAAAACCATTTGCAGTAGAGACTGTCTTCACTTCAACATAGACTTTTTAACTGCGGTCTCATTTCTTGATCTTCTGTTCCAGCCATGTGTGGTTTGTTTCTATAATTCTGTAGTGTATTTTAAAGTCAGGTATTATGATACTTCCAGCTCTTTTTTGCTAAGTATTGCTTCCAAATGATTTTTAGGATTTATCTTCCTATTTCTGTGAAGAATAGCTTTGGAGTTTTTGAGGGCTGTATTTAGTCAGCTATAGATTGCTTTTAGTGGTGTAGCCATTTTCACAATAGTAAGTCTGCTGATCCATAAATGAAAGTGGATCTACTAGTAGTGTCTTTAATTTCATTCTTCTTTTACCTCCTTACTTATTAGTCTTTTACCTCCTTAGTTATTTAATTCTTTTGAAACTATTGTGGATAGAATTTTCTCCTGATTTAGATTCATCCTGTTCATTATTGGTATACAAAAAATGTTTTTTATTGGGCTTGGAACGTGGCTCAGTGGTAGAGCGCTTACCTTGCATGCCTGAGGCCCTGGGTTCGATTCCTCAGCACCACATAAGCAAAAAGAAAAAAGCCGGAAGTGGTGCTGTGGCTCAAGTGGTAGAGCGCTAGCCTTGAGCTGAAGAGCTGAGGGACAGTGCCCAGGCCCAGAGTTCAGGCCCCATGAGCGGACCCAAAAAAAAAAAGAATATTAAAAAGAAAAAGTGTTTTTAATGTTGATTTTGTATTCTGATACTTTGGTAAAGTTTTTTTTATCAGATTTAAGAATTTTGTTGGTAGTCTTAAATATCCTGTAAGTATAGAATCATTTGTAGATATTATGCATATATATGCAAGTAGGGAGAACTGGAGTTCCTTTCCTATTTGTATTCATCTTGCTGCAGCTAAGAAATTTAGTACTAGATTGTATAAGGATATAGAGAGTAAACACCCTTGTCTCATTCCTGACTTTAAAGAAAATGGTTTCAGTTTTTCTCTATTTAAGATGATAGTGGCTAAAGGTTTATCATATATAGCCTTATTGTGCCTGCATTCAGATCTCATCTGAAGAACATGGTCTGAAGACAGCCTGGACAGGAAGGTCTCCATTTAACCACCATAAAGCCAAAAGTGGAGCTGTGACCCAAGTGGTAGAATGCTAACCTTGAGCAAAAGCACTCAGGGTCAGCTGGGCTCTGGTGGCTCATACCTGTAATCATAGCTACACAGGAGTCTGATATCTGAAGATTGTGGTTCAGAGAAGTCCAGGCAGGACGTCCATGAGACCCTTATCTCTAATTAAGCAAAAAAAGGAAACTCCAGAAGTGAAGCTGTGGATCAAATCAAGTGGTAGAACACTAGCCTACTAGTGCTCAAGAACAGTGCCCAGACTCTGAGTTCAAGTTCCAGGACTGGCATCAAAAACAGCAACAATAACAAAAAAAAGAACAATACTTTTTTAATTTGGAATCATTTTTTTACTACCATCTGGATTCATACCAAGTCTCGTTTATTTGGATTTTTTAAGAGGTTATATTTTTAATTTTCTTTATATAATGTATTTTATGTTTTCTGAAGTTAAATTTGCAAAACAAGGCATATTCAAAGTAACTTAGCTTCCTTCCCCTAACCTGTATGGCCCCCTTTGCCTATAAGAGGTACCTTTGTTAGTTTTGCCATTTTTTTTTTTTTTAAGAGCAGAAAAGGAGGGGGGGGTGGTTCTTACCCAATTTTGGGATTTGACCTCAGACCTGGGCGTTGTCTCTATACCACTTGAGCCTTAGTTCCACTTTTGGAGTTTTGGGTAGTTTATTGGAGATAAGAGTCTCAGATGTTCCTACCCAGGCTGACTTTGAACCATCTAGCATACTTAGATCTCAGCCTCCTGAGTAACTAGTAGTATAGGCATGAACCACCAGCACCCAGAGTTTGATTAACTTTTTATAATGATGAAATCTTCAGTGATCACTTGTCTTAGAGAAGAACTACTGATAAGAATTGAGATTGAAACTGGAAGAAGACAGACAGGTAGCTAAATATGTTTAAATATAAGAAATGAGATGCTGAACCCTTTAATGGTCACAAAATAAGTTCTATGAACTAAAAGGAAATCTACTTTTATAAAATTTTAGATATCTTTTTTCTTAACTAGTTTTTATGGGATTTCATTTATTGTTGTTGTTGGTGGTGGTGGTGGTGGCGGCGATGGTTGTGGGGCTTGAACCCAGGGCCTAAGCACTGTCCCTGAGCTTTTTTGCTAGTACTCTACCGCTTTGAGCCATAGCTCTCCTTCCAGTTACCTGGTGGTTAATTGGAGATGAGAGTCTCACAGACTCTCCTGCCCTGGACTGGCTTCAAACTGCGATCCTCAGATCTCAGCTTCCTGAGTAAGATTATGGGCATGAGCCATTAAGACCTGGCCTGGTGAGATTCCTTTTAAAGACTTAAAAGGAAAATTGGGTCTACAGTCAGCTGATATTTGACAAAGGAGCCAAAGACATACAATGGAAGAAACACAGCCTCTTCAACCACTGGTGCTGGGAAAACTGGGCGGCCACATGCAGAAAACTAAAAGTGGACCTCAGCCTATCACCATGCACCAACATCAACTCAAAATGGATTAAAGACCTTAACATTAAACCTGAATCTCTGAAACTACTGCAGGACAGAGTAGGAGAGACACTTGAACTGATAGGCACAGGAAGGAACTCCCTGAACAGAATCCCAGGGTCACAACAAATTGGAGAGACACTCAACAAATGGGACTACCTTAAAATAAAAAGCTTCTGCACAGGGCTGGGAAGTTGGCTCAGTGGTAGAGCGCTTGCCTTGCATGCCTGAGGCCCTGGGTTTGATTCCTCAGCACCACATAAGCAAAAAGAAAAAAAAAGCCGGAAGTGGCGCTGTGGCTCAAGTAGTAGAGTGCTAGCCTTGAGCTGAAGAGCTGAGGGACAGCGCCCAGGCCCAGAGTTCAGGCCCCACGACCGGACCCCAAAAAAAAAAAAAAAAAAAAGCTTCTGCACAGCTAAAAGCTATCACAACCAAGCTAGAA